TAATTTGGTGCTGTCCACTGAAGCATATTCACACCTATGCCACTTACCTGTATTTACCCCCAAAGATATTCCAAAGATGAAATGTATTCTTCAAAGATGAAAGGAAGAAGATGATGATCTTCTGACTGTACGCAGTGAAATATTAAGAACAGCACATCTCCCTCCCTGCTGTCAACAAGAAGAACCAAACAAAGCAGCATGAGCTGATATTACCTTACTGAAATATTTATATATAACACTGAAGTAAGTATTATGGAAACTACCAGTATAGACAAATATAAATATTGCACTTCTTTCTAGGAGACAAAAAGGAGAAAAAGACCACACGGACATCAGTGTCAGCTCAGTTCTGGATAAACTACACTAGATATGCTGTTCATAGCTTGTTTCCTTAAATCCTTGTACAGCTAAGAACCCTGCTACTTCCACAATAAACATGAACTGACAATTCCTAGGTATATCAGATTGCTGAAGGAAACTCCTTGACACCATACAACCACTCCAGAATGGGATGTTTGTGGAAGTCATTGTGTATGAAATCCCACCCCTGTTGTGTTTCCAATAGCCTGAGACAGATTTTCAATGACAACTCAGTGCTGTCTTATTTCTCCTCTGCAGTGATACTTGATAGCACCAAAAGACTTCTTTCTCAACTGGAGAAGTTTGCAGTTTCATGGGAAGAGATTTAGCTTCCACGGTTTACTGGATGTCTCCAAAGCCTTCAAGGTATTCCTGCTTGAACTGCTGTGGGTTGATGGCAGCAGCCTTGAACTACAAACATAGGAAATCAAATCATGTCAGCTGAAGAGCTGTGTCTTTTGGTTACTTATCAGGTAGAGTTTGAGAACAACAGAGCATAAAACTTAGATCAAGTTAAAGATCTACAGATAATTTATTGGCAAAGTAAACTGCATGACCATTTGCCATTGATTATTACCCTTAAAACTAAGCAACTCTGAAATATTTTACCTGCATCTCTCCCCTTCTAATATGATGATCAGTGTCCCTTAGGCTGGTGATTTTGAGTCTCCTCCCGAGCCTGAGGTTCAGTGCTCCCTCTTTGCACAGCTATTGAAGGATGTGACCCATGGGCAACTTGTAGAAGGATTTTGTGTTTTCTCCACATATTTTAAAGGATGGTCCAAACAGGGATGGGCTTTGAATTTTCTTCTTCTTTTTCACTTTTATTACATCTTTACCAATTTACACTTCCAAATGAGAATCCTGTGCTTTAGGCATTTGGCTGTATAGTTATCACCATCTTTACTTTTCCATCTTTTCCTGGTTTAGGCTTATCACATAAGCAAGAGTAATTGCATTACTGTATATGATGCTTTGACTATAAAGTGGAGACTGACTGGAAAGAAAATATGACTAATGCTGGTAAGACAGTGCTATAGAATTACTAGAGTAAGAGATTTCAAATCAGTATCTGCTACAGTACTAAAAAGGGTCATAGAATAATGTAGTTAATCCTAATAGCAGGCTATATAATAAGTCCAGATAAAATTATCTGGAGAATTACAGATTTGTCCTATGTCACACCAGGAAGGATGGAATCACGAGGAAAGGACTGTATTGTATTTCATGCCTGAAACTATGGCTGGATGCAAACTACATATATTGCTGGTGCTCTCTGCTTTTCTCAATGACTTTATAGCAAAGGATTTGTTTTTTTTAAAGAAGAGGTCCCTGCTCTGTCATGCTGATTTCTCTTTGTCCTCCCCTTCACAGGATCCAGCCAAAAGCAGTTCCCCCAGTGCAGTTCCTTCCAGCCCATGATGGAGGGCAGAAGAATCATAAAATATGATTATCTCAAGTTGAAAGAATCATAAAATATGAATATCTCAAGTTGGAAGGGACCCAGAAGGATCATCAGTTTCAACTCCTGGGTTCTCACAGGATCATAACATTTTAACTCAAGTAATTCAATCTAAGATCTGTTTCCTCCTGCATTTATAATTAGCAGTTTGCAATACATGTCTTGTTTAGCAGCCTATATCATGAAAGGATGGATTTTGTGGAGGTTTATTAGCCATAACAAACCCTGTGGGACTTACCAAATGTAAGCTCGACATGAATGAGAAGTTTATCTCAGAGCACAGGAAGGGGTTCTGCTGAATAAACATGTGACTATGGCTATGGAAGAACAGCTCCAACTTGCCTGTTCAAATCCACAGGGTGGCAATATAGACAACCCCTCTGAGCACCTGCGGGTCGTGTAGGAGCTGGTGTCATTGCTGCCCTAGGTCCTTCAGAAAAAAGCACTGTGCCTTCCAAAGTCATCAGCTATTATACTGATAAAGAAATTTGAGCTAGATGCTATACCAACACATTTGCTTCTGCAAATATTTAACAACTGATAGATAACTAACAACCACTGGAACCTTGCATTACTGAAATAAGATAAAATTCTTCAGAAAGAGGATTTGTTCGGTAGAAGGCAATCTGGAATGTGGTTTTGGATCCTGATAGAAACTGCTTGCACGTGAAACAGCAGAGAGAAATTTTCAGTAGACCAGTTGCCACGTGACCACAACTAGATGTATGAACTGAACTGAAGAGATACAACGTGAACAAAGTAGTGCAGTTGATGCAACAGAAGGAAGGGATGCCATCCAGGGGGGACCTGGACAAACTTGAGAAGTGGGCACATGAGAACATAATGGGGTTCAACCAGTCCAAGTGCAGGGTGCTGCACCTGGGTCAGGGCAACCCCAAGTGCAAATGCAGGCTGGGTGGAGAATGGATTGACAGCAGCCCTGGGGAGAAGGACTGCGGGATGTTGATGGACATAAAGCTGGACGTGAGCCAACAGTGTGCTCTTGCAGCCCAGAAGATTAACCAATCAACTCCTACATCCAAAAAAGTGTGACCAGCAGGTCAAGGGAAGTGATTCTCCCCTCTACTCTGCCCATGTGAGACCCAACCTGGAGTGCTGCATCCAGCTCTGGGACCCTCTGCACGAGAAAGATTGTTGGAGTAAGTCCAGAGGAGTCCACAAAGATGATTACATCTCTCCTGTGAAGACAGGCTGAGAGAGTTGGGGCTGATCAGCCTGAAGAAAAGAAGGCTCCAGGGAGACCTTAGAGCACCTTCCAGTACCTAAAGGGAGCCTACAAGGAAGCAAGAGAGGTATGTTTGACAGGGCATGCAGTGTTAGGACAAGTGGTAATGGCTTCAAAATGAAAGGAAGTACATTTAGATAAGATATTAGGAAGAAATTCTTCACTATGAAGTTGGTAAGACACAGGAACAAGTTTCCCAGAGAAGTTGCAGATGTCCCATCCACAGGTTGGATGGGGCTTTGAGCAACTTGGTCTAGTGGAAGGTATCCCTGCCCATGGCTGGGGGGTTGGAACTAGATGACCTTTAATGTCCCTTCCAAACCATTCTATGATTCTATGATGACTCTATGAACAAAGAACTAGGTAAAGATCTAATTATGATGGTAAGCTCGGCTGAAAGGAGAAATGGTGGTCTAAGGGGAGGTTACTATGGCAGTTCCTTAGGATCAGTTTAGAAACAGTGTTTTGTCATTCTTCCACTAATGACTAAGGACAAAAATAGTAGCATGTTAATGAAATACTCATGACACAATCTCAGAGGTATTGTGAATGCTGAAAAAGTATCAATTCAGGAAGAACTGAGCAGCTCAATGCACTGGAGTAGCAGAAAGTGAGTGAAATTGAACATATGCTTTTGGCAGCTTAAAAGAAGTTGTTCAGCTGCAAGCTAGGAAATCTGTAGTTGAAATCACCAAAGGAGAAGAAAGTTGATGATCCAGTGGTTAATCAGGAAACAGCTCGTCCACAGACCTGACAGGGTCATGAAAAAGGCAAGTGCTATCACTAGGCAGACTGAGAGATATTTCAGGTTAAATTAGGGAAATATTAATACCTATTACAGGGAAAATTCATCTAGGCTACTGTATACAGTCGTCCATGTGAAGGATGAAGACTTTTTTTGTAACTTTTCTATTCAAAAGATAATGAACAGCCTTTGGAATCAAGTTTGAATCCACATGATAAGGTTGCAAAGGGATGCTGTGATGTGTTCACCTCCTTTGCCAGAGGCTGGAATTACAAGATCTTTTCTAGTTCTTTATTTTGACGATCCTGTATAATTGTATGCAATGAGCCTGTAGGGCTTAGCTGAAAAAAACTCTTATGATAAATATAGTGTTAGATTTTATGAATAGTTTTCAGTGGCAAGTACTTATCTTTTGATAACACTGAGGTACAAATGGCAATTCTTTTATCATTGTGCTGAAATAATGAGTATGTGGCTAGCATCTGTGATATTTGTTAACCAGTGTCTCTTTTTTATTTTGGACCAGTGTATCTACGGTCATTTAAAAGGTGAAGGGACCTTTGATTTCAAGACCATTTATAAAAAAGACACTCTGTTCTTCAGACCTTGTAACGATTAAAGGCATTAGTGTAAGCAGATTATGCTTATGACTTTAAAGATCAGATTTTATAATCCCTTTCATTTCCCATCCTTTTGGTCAGAACATTCAGGTCTGTTACAGAGGAACATGAAACATACGATTTTGTAAGTGAACGCTTTGAGAAACTGAACGTGATGGTGAGTCACAAGCAGTTTATCTTCCTGATAAGAAATGATACCAAGTTTCTATATTTGGTCTTAGACCACTGGCACCTTATTACTTCTTATTTGCTAGGGCTATGTATGTATTTCAGTGAGTTTAAACAAGGGAGTGGCAAGGGATGTTATATATCCTTATAGGCGATTACAGTTTATAGCCAAATTATCTCCTGAATTACATTAGCTGAAATCCATGTTTTCTACTAGATGAACAGGCTGTTCCATAAAACCTTGACAGATAAAGCATTAATAAGTGTCAGAGCTGACTTGGTCAATCGAATGATTTGCTGACGCTTTTTTTTTACCACAAGCCTGCACTTACAAATCTAGTGCCAAAGGTTCACTATATATAGCTGAAGACAGCAAATAGATGGTCTCTTTTTGAGCAGGTTTCTGAGTAGCTGCCTGTTTCATTGTTCCTCACTGTGGCAGTGTTTTCAGTCAGGAAATTTAAAATATGGTAAAGCTAAAGTTGCCCAATCCTGGCCTGGAGGACAGGATACCTTCTCATGCTGAACTTGAGGTCCTTGAGAAACAAGAGGCAGACTCCAGACCAAAATGGGATAACAAGGCTCAGTATATGCTGACATGCATAGGGTTTTGTGTGGGCTTAGGAAATGTGTGGAGGTTCCCGTATCTCTGTCAGAGCCATGGAGGAGGTATGTCTTTAATATCTTAAGTAACTTTGGGTATAAACCAGGTTTAATCTCTCTTTTGGGAAACCAATAATAGAATATATTTAGAACTGGTCAATTCCTATAAGACAGCGATGTTCTCTCTGGAAGACTGTACAATGGAAAAGGTCCTTTCACAGGTAATGAACATCCACAGAAGTCATGTTAGTGATGGAAGAAAAGGAAGGGTCTGTTTTTTGCTTCAGGACTCAGGATTGAACAAATCAGTCTTGCACTGTTATGTACATAGTGTATTTTCTCAGTCTAAAACCAGCGTTACTTTATGTACGTATATAGAGAGTGTGTATTTTAAAATATTAATTAACTAATTGGCACTATGATTCTGATCATGATCCCCGCTGATGTTTTCGTCATAGGGTTTTCATTGGGTTTGGACTGATCTGTGTATCACCTGTAGGATCAGTGTGGGTGTAATTTGTGCTAGGAGTAACAGCATGAAAGTAGTTAACATTGAGAATATGTTTTTAGAAGTTGCTGTAACTAAGTCATTTAAAATCCAAATATGTGTTATTTACTGGGACTCCTTAGGGTTCAGGTTAGGTCTGAATGACCATATTAAAAATTTTGTTTCACTGTTTTGCTGTTTGTTTTAAAAGATGATTTTGAGCTGAACCATTGCTTAAATATTATACGACAACATAAATTTCTCATTTTCCTACAGTCTTTTCTCTCTGCTATCTAGTTGTTGTCTGCATTTCAGTTTGGGATGTGTGTAAAAAAAACTTTTGTTCCTTTGTAATGTTTGATCTTGAAAGAAAAAAATGGCTTAAGGAACAGTATTTCAAAGTAATTTTCATTAAATGTACAAGGTGAGTTGTTTAAAAATTGCTCTTCCTAATTAGAGTAGGGACAAATGAGAGTTCTGTGGGAAGTTGCTCCTACGAAGTCAGGGACATGTAATGACCAGTGACTCCGTTGCAAGAGTAGATGCTTTTAACATTAAGATTTTTCTAACATGGGCTGGGGTTTAGAGTTTCCAAAAAGTGGAGATGCTCTGTTTTCCACAGTAGACTTATAGGCACTTTCCTGCTTTTTGGTATTTCTTTCCCTTGTGGTCTAGTCATGTGAAATGCAGCTAAAAAGCAAACATCCGACAAATGCAAAGAACTTGGTATGGATCATAGTTTTCTGACTGATGTCGGTGAAGATTTATGAATTGCTTATGTGTGTATTTCAGTACTCTGTTTTAATTTGTCCTTTGACAGCAATTATTTTCCTTTCTCATCATCCTATTGCTTGTCCTTTCTCAGGAGCACTAACAACAGTTATCCCTGGATTTTTTGTTTCCCTGGGACTCTCTCACTCAAATTTTAGGTAGAATTTGAAAGGGAGCAATAACAAAGAAATTATGTAGCTGGGTCTGCACTTAGAGCTAATACACAGATGTGTGTCCTTCTAGCCAGAATTGCTACCTTATTTATCAATTCTTCTGCATAGCACGAAATGCCGTGACTCATATCAATACACAAGAGTTATCAGGAATTCCTTCCTGTAACTTCTTAGAAAGGATTCCTTAATGTTATCATATGTGAGGATGGAGAGCTATTGTGCAATCCCTTCTCCTTCTCTGCTGTACAGTGCGTCTCAGACTCTTCTGGTAGGTCCAAGTCCAACTCCTACCACCACTGTCATCCTCTCATTACAGTGTCTGCTCTCAAGCTTCTCCCTTTGATCAGGAAAAAAATAAAAAAGACTCTTGCTGATGTTTGGATGGATGGCTTTGAATTTGAACATGTGACACCATAAAACCACTCCAGAATTGGATGCTTGTGGAAGTCATTTTGTATGACATCCTACCTCTCTTGTGTTCCCTCTACCTGGCTTCACGTAACTCCAGTTGGAAACATGTATTTCCTAGATATTTTATACGAGTTTTGCCTTAGTCTTTGCCCCTCAACATGGTGGTCAAGATAATTTATTCATCTTTGCATTTGTGTGGCCCACTCAGGGGCACAGATTTGCCTCTGTAACAGAGTGGGGGGAAACTGCAACGTTACACACCTTCTTCCAAGTTATCCTTTAGAAAGAATACACCTCACTCATGAGTTCACTGTGGAAGCTCCGTTTTCCCCCAGCAGGTCTAGTGCCTTTATCCTGGATGGTGTATGACTTCACACTTTGTGTCTTCAAGATGTGTTTTCACTGAATCCTGAGTGCAGAGCAGCAGGAATTCCTGCTGCTGCTCTGTCACTGGAAATGGGGATTATGTTCCTGGCATGATCATGGATTATGGCTGTGTATCAAGAGATTTAAAAAAAAAAGCTATTTCCCATGCAGTAAATATCTGCAGAGGATGAGAAAAAGTCCTGTGTGATCACATGGTCAGATACTAGGTACATGCTGAATCAAGGTTGCAAGACTATCTCCTGAAAATTGTTTCTAATTTCTAAGGATTTACTCTGCTATCTTCTTTCTTTTTGAATATGAGTTGTATGGATGAACACTTGGATCATTTAGCATGAGTGAGGTCTGGTAGCAATGATGTAGATTGTATTTCAGCCAAGGACACTCCCAAATGAGGCTGGATGTCCACTTTGTGAACTGGTGTTTGCAAATTTTATATACCTTATGAAACATAATTGGACCACAGTGAAGTATAAAATTTACCCTTGTGATACTTGGACTTCAAAGAAGGTGGATTTTTTTTCCCTGAAAATTATCTGTAGTGAAGATAGTTAGGAGCACTGAGTTTATAAGTAACTCTTATTTTCAGATGTTTGAACTTGAATATAGAATCATTTAAGAACTGCTTCTTCCTAAACACAATAATGTGATAGTGTTTTAACACTGTGACACCCAAATATAAAAAAAGAAATGGTGTTTACATAATTTACTTACTTTTGTTGTTGTAGATTTTGAGTTTGTGTTTTCTTAAATGGAATATTTACCCCAGTGAAATATAGTAGAGCAAAGCACATTTTATCCTTTAATGGCTTGAAAGTTGTCAAATACATCATTACCTAAGGAGAACTAGAGTTCGATATGCACACAATGTAAAATGTATGGTGTTTGCCTCAGTGCTTTTACCAGCTTAATGAGATTTTAATTTCCTTTCATTTAATAGCTGTCTCTGACATTGCACATAGCTTTTGTTTAATCTTTATTGAGCAACATGTCATTTAATCAGCTGTTGAGCATTTTTGTTTCATCCCTTATGACCGTAATATAAAAGAAGATGCATATTTAATGTTTGAATCATTGATTTTAAAAAAAAATGTCTCTAAGTCTACAGCTTGCATATGGAAACCTTGCTTCTGCATGATAGAGAACTTTCTTATCTCTGCGTGTGCCACACTGAATGAAGTGACAGTAATGACATTAGCAGTCCCTCACTGGTACCCTCATTACAGTTGAGGTCTAAGAATATGATAATATAGTAAAACACTTTTATCTGAAGTCTGCCGCCTTCCCTTCATGAGGAATTATGTGCAAGCAATAATAGTTTTTTCAATTTCACATTAGAAGCTCTTAGATTAAAGAGAGAGTAATAGCAATATGGACGCTCAAACCAAATATTATGTGTTCTGAAATACAGTACTGAAACAGGATGAGAATCTAATATCTCAACTATAAGGTTTTTAGACTGAAATATTAATCATTATTTATATACAGCTATACAGCATCTATTTTCAGATCATTTGTTTATTTGTTAGGTTCATAACACTGTGACAGCTTCAAAAGTATTGGTTTATTTTTTATGTCCCGTATGAACCTGGAAGTGTTCTAAAGTCATGTGGATGTGGCACTGGGGACATGGTTTAGCGGTGAACACTGTGGTTATTGTCAGATTCGATGATCTTAGAGGTCTTTTCCAACCTTAGTGATTCTATGATGCGATATAGCAGCTTTGCAGAGTCAAATTATTATTATTTTTTTTCCATTACAGCTTCTTTTGGAAAGACTGGGGAGAAATTGAGAGAAAGGGAAAACACAGCAGAGATGGATTTCTGAGCTGGCTGTTAGAATTGAACCCTAGAAAGAGAAGAAGCCAAGAAAAGGAAAAAAATGTCATATATAATTGAGAACTGTCATTTTATTTCTCTTGAAAATATAACGATATTCCTACAGCTAAATACCAGTAGTTTTAGTAATTCGTCCAGTTCTGACATGGCACACCATGGATTTTTACTTTGTCAGAGCTACCATAATATACATGGTTCAAGCCAGAAATACTTTTGTTGTATCTGTTTGCGTATGGATACAATCATTATTGCAAAGTCTAAATTTTTTGGGTACTTCAATAAAGTCTGCTAAAACCAATAACACAGTATCAAGTGGCCACTATTATAATGAAATCAGCCAACTGCACTTTTTGCTTTCTACTCCTATGGAATTCAAGTAATGATAGTTACTTACTTGTCTTTCATTGACATTTTCAATGTTTGCTAATCAAAATCAGCAGTTTTGAATACATAAAACGCTACTCAAAATGCTGAGCCCTTTGTGGCACATGCCACACATCAGGTTGAATGATCAATCACTGATGCACTAGAAAAGATATTTTTTATTGAAGCCACTTGCCAAAGGTAGCTGTACAGACATAATACTCTCAGACTTCTATAAAGCATGTCATTTAGCAACAAAAAAACACCCCTTCTTACTAAAAGTTTATCAGTTTTTAAAATCATTGTAGTTCATCTTGCATGCATTAAAAACTAGCTATTATTGTAAAAATATAGACTAAATGAAAAGGTTTCAGAGGAAAGCCAGAAGAATAACTGACTTGGGACATACTTTTTGTTAGTCAGACTGAGGAACTCATTATGAATTGTTATTTGCAGAGATGTTTGCTAAACTTTGCTGACTATTCCTCTCTTCTGTGTCAGTCTGCCACTTCAGGAAAAGGAATATGTAGACGTCACCTCCAAGGAGAACAGTATTCTTTTTCTTCCCCACTTTTCACATCTCAGCTACATTCCCTTTTCATAGCCTTTGCAAGAACAAAAGCCTTGCATTAATGTGGAGCAGCTACATGATAAATCTAGGAGCCTCAGGCTGGTACTGTTTCACGTTGGAGAAAAGTGGCTGTTTTGTAATGCCAGAAAGAATGAATTATGGTGATCCACCCTAGTTCTGAGGAAACTGAACTCTCCTAATTTCAAATTCAAATTTAGCACTGTGGTCTTAGCTCAGATCTTGTTACAAATGGTGTCAGTGCTAAAGCAATCGTTTTCTGACTCGTGTCTTTCTGACTACGTATTTTCATGTCACAAACCTGTGAAACATATAGGGCATATTCCAGTTTTTGAGGGGCTAAGTTCACTTCCAAAACAAGGTTCTTCCCTCTCTCTTCCCACCACTCCAGGGACTTCAACAAAATTATAGATAGCAGGAGCTACTAATGTCAGCTGTAACAGGGCACCCCTCTCTCATTACTTTGTTGACTGGTGGCTGAAAGGCAGCTATGCCAGAAATGGTGATAGACTCTTCATCTGCCTCTGCCCTGGCACCATTGTTGACAATGCAAAGGTCTTCCCCAGTGTTGGCAGAGGTTCTGGATCTCATTGAAACTGTGTCACACTCAGTCACTGCAAGGAACTGACTCACTCTGTCCTTTCAGTTTCTAAAGGTTTGTCCTGTTTTGTCTCTATGGAGTAGCATAGCTGTGCTGAAACATGCTCTGGTATGTACCTAAGGGCCCCTCTTCACCTGGTTGGATAAGCAGTGCATGTAGATTTGGCTTCAAATAGTTCATTCGCTACTAATACTGTACCCTCTTTCTGTGAATAACACTTCTCCTAACTGTTTTATTCTTGCTTTCATAGAAATTAGGATTTTTGCAGGGTATGCAATGAGTGCCCCCTCACTGTTGTGTTTCACCCCCTTGAATCCTGATGGCTTCTTTCCTACATGGGAAGGTTGGTAGGACAACCTCCATACACAGAATGTCTGGCCTTTTCCAAAGACGAAGTTACTTGTCCATGTGAGGAACTACAGGCAGCCATAAATATGTCATGTTCTCCAACCCCATGTCAGGCTGGCACACAGTTTCCTTCCTGTCACACTCTGACCAGGTGCTCTCCTGAGGGTAAGATGAGAGAAGGACATGATCATTTTATTTATATGAGCATTTTTAAGTTCCAGAGCATTCTCTCTCTAAAAGACTCGCTAAAGAGTTTGTATGACTACTTCATCTGGATCTTTTCCTTTTACCTGCCCTTTTGGATGCCATATAGGTCTCTGCCATACCACAGTTTCGCTTCTCTCTGGTGAAACCCTTCTTTGGCAATAGTAAGAGTTAAGTCCAGAAGATGGATCTGTACAGCTACCTTATTCAAATACTCCTTATTTGCACTAAGGATAAGTCCTTGTCACCCTTTGAAACTCAACTTCCAGTAATTTCAAATAATCTCTTGAAACTTAAGAATGGATTTGCAGTTAGTTCTGCTAACGTGCTTCTCATGGAGAGATGTCACTTTTTTTTTTTAATCAGGTCACAGTAAGATCACTCAAGGACTTGATTAGAAATTATCTCCCTAGTGAAAGATCTTGTTGAGTAAGGAAATACACAACCTTTGTGTTCTATTCAAGCTACAACCACTTGTTTCTTATCATACCTTTCAAAGAAAATATGTTTTGATAGCTGCTATCTCTGTTAGCAGAAGGGGGAGAAGATCAGGCCATTTCCAATGCAGTATTAGAAAGCGTTCAAAGGTAGTCTGAACTTTTTGTTTTCAGTAGACAGCAGGCAGATTGATATTCTGATTTGGGCTTCATTTTTCTCACGCTCGAGACTTTCTTGCAAACCTTAACTGCAAGGTACACCTCCACTCACACAGTTCTAACAGTCTGGGTAGACATCATGGCTTATTCTCCAAGACAGCAAGGTTCAGCAACAGCACAGTCCCTGCACCATAACTCTCCCTGTCAACAGCACAGTGGGTAAAATTCACTGCAAGACTCTCAGAATTGAACCACCCTCTGCCGTGGACGTGCCGAAAGTGCTCTGTCAGCCTTAGGGCATTTCCTGAGGCCTCAAGATACTTACAAAGGTACCTTTATAGAAGAAGTCTTCAAGCATAACATATCTATGACAGAGCAGTCAGATGAAGGCACTCCACGACGGTCCTTGCACAGGCATAAAAATAGGAACGGAAAAAAGTGAAAAAGATGTGCTGTGTGCTAATAGCTTCCCAGCTTTCTTGCTACCCTGGAATCATCAGGAAGTAGATTTCAGCTTCTGGCATGGTTTTCATACTCCAAATTTCCTCTTTAAATTGCTATTTGATTTTCATAGCATATATGAGAAAGAAGTCAGCAAATTCCCAGACCTGAACCATTCACACACTGGTCTGCGATTTCTTTAATGCATTCAGATTTTTTACTCCTGTTTAAATTGTGAAGTTAAAGACATTTTGCAATGACAGATAACCATAATTCTATGATTAGCTATATATAATACATATGCAATACATAGTTCTATTAATAGCTATATTCAAGCATTTGATTCTGCACTTTGGTAGTCCAGTATGGTGTTCTATGTTGTCTCTGCTTTATCCTTGCTCAGGAAAAACTTATTTAAAATACTTACCCTATAGTAAACAGCTTTCTCATAATCAACAATGTTTGAACCCTGTACTTAGATCTCTTCTAATCAAACATAAAGGCAATTTTGCAGGGAAAAGAAAAAAAAGGAAGTCATTCCAGGAAAATAATTACCTTTCCTCCACTTGCAATAAACTTTTTCAAAGTTTAACCTTGAGTAATTTCTGTTTATGTTTGTCCTCTGGGAAGAATAAAACTTCCTACCTGAAACCACATATGTAATGAAGTCCCCTGCTTGGGCAATCAGGCAGAAACATTGCTCAGAAAACAGAGAAGGGTTTCCACAATGATGCTTAAAACTCACTTACTATGTCAACATCTCACAAACCTGATGTTTGTGTTTTGTTGTAGCACTTCACTGATCATTAGTTTTCTTATCCATTCCAGGAGCCTTCATGATCCCTTTCCTGATTTTGCTAGTCCTGGAGGGTATCCCCCTGCTTCATCTTGAGTTTGCCATTGGTCAAAGGCTGAGGAAAGGCAGTGTGGGCGTATGGAGCTCTATCCACCCTACCCTGAAAGGAGTTGGTAAGTCTGACGAGGATACAAAAAGCCACCTGAGAAAGCACAAATCTCTGAAATTATCATCTGTGGAGCAAATCTTCAAGATTTTATTCTGGCATGCCATGAGAGATTCCAAGATCTATTATTTTTCCCTTCTTGCTAACTCTTCATTGATAGGTCAAACTAATCATGATGAACAACTATGACAGTTTTGTGTCCATGTTCCTAAGTACCACAGGCCTAGTTAAAACATGACTTTAATTTCAGACCCGTTTCAGGCCTCAGAGATATTTTCTGTGTTATTGATATTGGCTGTTTTGCCATTAGGATGAATCTTTAAGTGTGCCAAAAACTATTCTGTAGCTGTTCTGTGGATAAATAATAGTTGAATATTTACCTGGTGGACCTCAGCTCCATCTAATGTTACCTTCTTGATTCTGAGAGGTACTAGAAGCCACAGAAGCAGTATTTTGCAGAAAATACTTCTTCACATCTGTACCAGACTTCTGAGTGTGGTACTGTAGTAGAAGCAGCATTATGCACACAACATAAGAAACTCTACAGATACCTCATTACACAGAAAACACAGAAGGTGCCACATGAACATCAGGAAACACGGTGAGAATGCAAAAACACTGGCACAGGTTGCCCAGGGATGTTGTGGGGTCTCCAACCTCAGAGATATTAGAAGTCTGCCTGGACATGGTCCTGGGCAACCAGCTCTATGTGGCCCTGCTTGAGCAGAGGATTGCACCACATGACCTCCAGAGATCCCTGCCAACCTCAACCACACGCTTGAAAGGGAAGAAACACAGACAGTTAGTATTGTTTTGTCACCCCCTGCATTTGTAAATCAGTTACAAAAGAAAATTATTCATTGCATCTGGAATTTTTCAAGTTTCTTTAGAACCTAAGAGTTCTCAGGAGCTAATCATTAGCATTTACTGTCTGCCAGAAAAGTCACCAGAGGCTGATTACTTGGGAACAAGTGGAGGAGAGATACCTGCACCTTGTCACAGACTGTTCATCCTGGCAGCCATCCATCCTATACAACACCCCTCTGCTGAACTCTGCAGTGACACTGTGGAAGAAGAAGACTATCTGGTCTCATTTAGGCAAAATCCCAAGTCAGCTGAGCTTTACATGTACCCAGCATCCCGAACTCCTTCAATATCAGCTGGCAAGACTGTGAGCAGGACTGCGTGGTGTCTGTAGATAGTCAGTCCGCTCACAATGTTGAGTCCTAAGTGGGAGTCAGCTTCAGTCTCAGAGCAGTTTTAGGATATACATCTGCATAGGACTCATTTGTCCAAACTTTAGGTAACAAATTCACAGTGATTAAACCTACACCCCAAATAAAGAGAGGAGAGGGGAAAGGCTATAAATCATAGAATTAGGGTGAAGAGGGGAGGAGGGAATGGTTGAGGCTTATACCATATACTTTGATATGTGTTGAAGACAAGACTGTTGAAATTTACATTGTATTCTGATTTTATTTTTTTCAGGCATAGCATCAATGTTTGTATCCTTCCTGGTGGGTTTATATTATAATACTATTATTGCCTGTGTGATGTGGTATTTCTTCAACTCCTTCCAAGACCCCCTGCCTTGGAATAACTGTCCTCTCAATGAAAACAGAACAGGTATATTTTATGAAATATTGTATTTTGTTGCACAGCACATACTTCTGTTTCTAACAATTACCCTAATTTAACCTCTTTCTGTAAAACAGTAGTAAGGCATGGCAGTCCCGTTAGGCACATTGTGGTATTTTGATGCTTGTGTTTTGTAAAAATTCGCATTGCATAAAATGAGGTCAACTCTTAATCTTTCAGACAAACTTTGACTTTTTATATGAAGCTGCATGGTTGATTGTGACAGATATATTCATATACAGAATATTCACAAAGTGGAAGTCTAACATAAACATTCAGATTTTTAAGATAAGACTGGATGTGGCACTTAGTGCCATGGTCTAGCAACCGCAGCGGTAGTGGATCAAGGATTGGACTTGATGATCTCGGAGGTCCCTTCCAACCCAGCTGATTCTATGATTCTATGATTTTCCAGATTTAGGCAATATGTTTCATTCATCTCTTCACCAACAGCCCTCCATTAGCATACTGAAAAGGAAAGAAAAAAAGGAGTTGCATAATTCATATGAAACACCTGTATCCCTCAATATGCTCTGTGGAGACTGCTTGGTTTTCCATAGTCAGCCCTGCATGAAACTGTATGAAGCAGGTTTTTCCAGTGGGTCAGTGAACAGCTGTTCAGAGCACTTTGCTCCTCTCCTCCCAGAATAAGTATGAAAATCCTCATTTAAGGGAAGACCAGGGCAGAATATTGCACAGGTCAGCACACTGCAGGGAGCTGAGAATCCAACTTGAGCTAACAAGGCCTGAAAGGATGTCCCACAAAACAGAAAGACAAAATATTGATGACCTGAAGGAGGTATGGGAGGGAAAGGAGGTGTGGGAGAGGAAAAGCTGCCTTATTAAAATCCCTGTCAAACAATTCTCTTTTGAATCTCTCATTTTACCATGAAACCAGCCTCTAAAAATCTGAAATCTGCCAATAACAAATTAGTTGGCATGAGGTGGTACAATTTAGATCACTGATATTTATTGTTTAGCTTGCTTATTTCCAAGTAAATAAAAGACATACAGAATGACGACCATTTTGTTGTTACAGATTATGTAGAAGAGTGTGCCAAGAGCTCTCCTGTAGATTACTTCTGGTACAGAGAAACATTAAATATCTCCACTTCCATTGAGGATTCTGGCAGTATACAGTGGTGGCTTTTGCTATGTTTGACGTGTGCATGGGGTGTACTGTATGTGTGCACAATCAGAGGCATCGAAACAACAGGAAAGGTAAGTTATTTTGGAGGTCTTTTATGAGATTATATTAATCATGCTGTTGTGATTCCTTATTTATACAGACCTAATAATACTGTAGAAACTGTTTCTTGAGTAAAAGCCTATCTAAAACTTTGTGTGTCATCACTGGGACTGCTTTTTGAAGAAGGAAGATGAATGAAATGAAATCTGATTGATTTATGTGAGCAGTTTGTCTTCCTTGTCCTTACAGGTCTTGGTAAAACATTCTTTAGGTATTATCACCTTAACATTAATATTAATCTTTAATGCAGGACCAAGGGACTCTCTTTTTGTTATGCCATTCTCTTCAAAATGTACATATACAGATTTATTTGGGTTTGTGCTACTCCTAAATATTATCTCCTTGAAAGAGTGACTGATGTTCTGCTGCCCAGCAAAGCCCTAAGAGTCCATCCTTGCATCCTTGCAATCTGGTCTCAGGGTGTAGATTATTTTTGATGCTGCTTTTGAATGATCTGAGTTGAATTTCAACAAAGACAGCTTGTCTTAAATAGAACACTATTGCTGCAAAAATGTTTGTTGTCAAAATATACCACACATACTGTTTCATTTGAACACTTCCTGTAGTATGCTAATTGTGACTCACTTGAAACTTGCCCTTATTGCTAATCACCATACCTTGCTTACTCTCCTCTTCTCTTCCCTGCAATGCAATTTTTATTCAAATGTTCTGTTTTATTTGAGTGTTTTATTTACATTCTTTTTGTATAGGCTGTGTATATAACTTCAACTCTTCCATACGTTGTGCTTACCATTTTCCTAATCCGTGGCTTGACGTTGAAAGGATCAACCAATGGAATAGTGTATCTCTTCACCCCTAATGTAAGTCACTGCGTGGTTCTCCTGTCAGTGAAACATGATGTAGTTCTCTCTGTAATTAACAACCAATTGACAATTAGTTCTCTCCACTGGTGCTTTTTCAACTATCCCTGAGACGCCTTGAAAATCTTGATTCTGGGAGGTGAACCCTTTGGATTGGATGGAACAAGTGTACATATACACAGACATTTTCTCTCTATCTTTCTCGCTCTCCATCCTCCATCAAAATCTGTTATAAAAAATTGAAGGATCATCACAGAAAAACTGGGTTACCATTATGTAACTTGATTTCTTTTCCTGTATTCTAATTACGAACAAGTCTAAAATTAAAGCATAAATCATGTATTTGGGAGTAGAACTAATCTAATGGCTACATGGACAAAAGACCAAAGAGAATGGTTTAACTATACAACAATTTTTGAACGAAATTAAAAGGGGTTTCATTTTCCATGAGCAGACCTCTGAATGATCATTATTAGTGCTAAATATTAAACACCTTTTCTGAAAACAGACATGGCAGCTGTCAGCTATGCAAAGTAATTTTTTAATCAATTTTCAAAATACTTGTATAAAAACTACAGATAGGTTTTTCTTTTGGAAGAAAAAGGTAAGTTTGACAAAAGTATTGACCTATCTGTTGAAATCCAGTGAGTTTTGCATGGTTAATATTCTTGTTTTAATGATTGTTTTGAACGTCTCATACTTAGTTTAAATAGCAGTGTTGGATATGCTTAAAGCTGTATGTCTGATGCTTCAGGTTACTGAGCTGGCGAACCCACTGACATGGTTGGATGCGGGTGCTCAGGTGTTTTATTCTTTCTCCCTGGCATTTGGAGGCCTCATTTCATTCTCCAGTTACAACTCTGTTCAGTAAGTAACCAGGCAAAAGCCAAATTTTATATGAATATTTCATTCTTCCAAATGAAACATCTCTACTTTTGCCCTATTTTTATGCTACTTGGAACTGGGACAACATCCCCTCAGATGTGTAAGATGTATCTCCTCTGACTGATCCTAACTCTCCTGAGACAAGATTTCAGGTCTCAGTGCTGGCTGACTTCCTATAGACAGATGTAGTGGTGCAGGATAGAAAGAAGGGGACTAACTATCCACCCCCAGCTGATGAGCAGAAGTTTCCTCTGTGGGAATGCTTAGTGCATGGTGATGACCTTGGTCTCAGTGCTGTCAGAGTAGGATGATAGTACACACATTTCAAAGCAAGTCACACAGAACAGTTTAAATCCTTAACTTTGAGATGAGAAGATATATCTAGTTTCAAAATTCAAATTCAGTGCCTTTATATATGATTAGTGAGGCCAGGTAGTGTGAACTCCCATCATCCAGGGACTGACCCATCCTGCAAAGTATGATGCAGTGCTATATTCTACACTCTGTCACACAAAATACTGGAGAAGCCACCAATGCTTCTTGGTGCCTGCCATTCCTTCAGCACTGTCTGTCCTCTTGAAAGGCAAACTGTGTGACATTCTCTAAACCTAATATTTTTGATAAATGTCTCTGAATTATGTTTTGGGTATGTGGTTTGGTCATGCTTTCAGAAATCCGTGTTTCAGTTTTAGCTTGGGTTCAATTACACCACACCAGAATTTCAGCTACCAAAGTAGTTCCCTCCCTCCACTCTTGATTTCAGGTATTTTTTAAAAGATCATCTGGAATTTTTGGTGCCTGCAAGTCTCGGTGCAAGGCATGAAGCCCTGCTTCAGGTCCAAGTCAGTGTCCCACAACCATGGGGAGCAGGACTGAGTGTTCTTCATCTTTCCAAAAAGGCACAATGGAAAGGAACAATGGAACAATGTCCTCCTGCTTTTCCAACACAGAGGGCTGTGGCACCTGGCCATCCTCCTTCAATGCTCAATCATTCATGACTTAAGGAAGAAACTGCAGAAAGTCATTATACTCCCAAGGAAATGTAAGGGGAAAAAAACCCCAAAACACGCAAATTTCACAGTGTTACACTGTGGTGTTGGGCCACTTGCAGTCCAGCACCAGCTGGACCAGGTGTCAGTGACTCTGCCTGTGGATGGTTTGGGAGTATAAAAATCTCAGAAAATACTAAAAGGTTTCAATGCCATCAAGGATTCACTAATTCATAATGAGAAGGAGCTTGAGCATCTTATTTTCTCTAAAAGGAAGAAATGCTTTTATCAAGGCTGTCATTGAGAATCTCATGTTACAATTCAAAAATAGACATGAGACTACAGCAGGAAATTTTCATTCAATGCCCTACACCTGGTAAAAACCTATTTGCAATGCTATAAATGGGTAAAGGACACAGTGTGACAGGTCTTGGCTGGACAGGCTTGTCCTGAACACCTTGAAGGTGTTCAGAAAATTAACTAAGACAACATCAAGTTGATTTCAATAGTCCTATTTTGTCCAGAAGGGGCCTCTGGTGGTCTAGTGGTTAGAGTGCCTGACTCTCACCTCTGCGACCTGGGTTCGATTCCCGGCCCCCTGGGCAGGTGGAGCTCGTCAGCCTTGGTAGGCAATCCACCTAAGAGAAGGTCACTCTAAACAAACCTACATCCTGGGGACCTCACTGCCACTGTCCAAGCTTTGCTCAGCCCCGGCAGATGAACCTCAGGACTAAAGGGTGGGCTCAGTTCAGCGCACGCTGTGTCTCACCTAAAAAATCCACTGCGCAGGCTGGAAGGGTTAATGACCTTTCCCAAAATCTTCGCTCGCGAAGACTGGCCATTATTTATTATATTATTTTGTCCAGAAGGAATAAAGTATCTACAGTTTTACAGTCTTCTCATAAAACCATAAACTAACTTAATGTTGATGTTTTATCTTGTCCCTCAGATGAAAGTCTGTTTCTGGCTCTGCAATTTTTCTGTCTTAGCACAGACACGCTGGCAAGAAGTGCCTGCAGCAGAGAAGTTTCTACAGACAGCTTTTCTGTCCAACCTTATCAGCATATAGTTCCACTCTGTTTCCAAAACTTCAGGATATTTTGAACCATCTTTTGTTCAACAGTCAAACAATACTGTCCCAAGTGCTCTTGGCTACTGCAATTTCACCATATCTAAGTGCTATGGAAACTTTAATTCACTTTTCCTTTTTGGCTATCTAATTCAAATCCAAGTCTTTCACCTTGCAGCAGAATACACTAGCAATGTAGATACAGCCCATGGCAATATGTGTCTGCACACATGCATGCCAAGTTTGAAAAGGAGGAGACATATTCTTTTGCCCCTCATACTTTACTTCCTGTGACTCAGATATGAAAACAACTCAGGCAGTTATTCCTTATGAATAGGATTATTTGAAGGGTAAAAAAAACACACACAAAAAAAACCAAACAACAACAACAACAAAAAACAAACAAACAAACAAAAAAACAACAACAACAAAAAACAAAAAACAAACAAAAAAAAAAAACCAAAGCCATAGCTCATTTTTCATGGCTAGGCTTCGCGAACGAAGATCTGGGAAGGCTCTATCCACATTTGCTACAGGCACGCTGGTGGCTTATGAGGCCAATATGTGACAGACATGTCCGATTGCAAAAGGCACAGCAGAAAGACTCCTTAGATGGTGTATTCTGCAATACACGGTTCTTTCTGCGTTGCCTTTTTTCCTCGAGGGTGATCCTGCGTGTGTTCTCAAAGGAGACAGCAGCGTTATAGACGGTGTGTCTCCAGGCCTCCCGATTTGAGGCCAGAGTAGACCAGTTATGGTGATCAATATGGCCAAGGCTGAGATGTTGTTTCAGGGAGTCCTTGTATCTTTTCTTCGGGGCTCCTCTCTTGCGGCAGCCGGTGGCAAGTTCACCATAAAGCAGGATCTTAGGGAGGCGGTGGTCCTTCATCCTGGAGACGTGCCCTGCCCATCGCAGCTGTGTTCTCATCAACATGGCCTCAATACTTGTGACAGCTGCTTGCTCTAGAACAGATGTATTGGTCACATAGTCTGACCAGTGGATGTTTAGGATTGTGCGGAGGCAGCGTTGATGGAAGCGTTCTAGGAGTCGCAGGTGGTGGCGGTAGATGACCCATGATTCGGAGCCATATAAGAGAGGCGACAACACTATGGCTCTGTAAACACTGATCTTGGTGCTTTTCTTCAAGTGTTTATTATGCCATACTCTTTTGTGGAGTTTTCCAAAAGCACTATATGCCTTTGCTAATCTGTTGTCTATAAATTGTTTAAGACACCAATTTTTAATTTACTAAATCTATCTTTAACACCAGTACTTGTCTGCTCTTAGAAGGTACACTGATGTACCTGTGCATCTGTAGGCTACTCTTTTCTTAGTCTTAGTAGCCAGTTTTAGTATTTGTTTTGGGAATGTGTTTGAAATCCATTGTTTTTTTTTCTTTGAATTGCAGCAATAACTGTGAGAAAGATGCTGTGATTGTCTCAGTGATCAACGGTTTCACTTCCATCTATGCAGCAACTGTCATATACTCCATCATTGGATTCAGAGCCACAGAAAGATATGATGACTGTTTTGACACGTAAGTTATTAGAAAAAGCCCCCACAGAATATGCAGGTGTTTGTTTGGCTGAGTCAGCTCTGTTAGCCTGATGATAATGGATTTATCATTTCTGAATAATTGTAGGGCTTGACCCACATGGTATTGGAACTACTCATTACTTAAAAAAATTTGAATCATGGAATAAATCCCTTGGAAAACGATAATTGTTTGAGCCACCTGATCTCCTACTTAAATGTTGCATAAGGAACCATAATTGACATTATTCCCCATGCTGACATATGGCATGAATGAAATATTCCCTGGGGCCCGTGTCAGCTCTGTATTTAGGTTTCCTCTGGAAAGCTTAAATGTGTAGGTCTCATCAGAATTACCTCATTTTACCAGGGCTACCAGACTCTTTTCTAACCGGAACTGTAAGACTATGTGGGTTCCAGTCTAGCTCCTCCACATTCAACTGCAAAAGTGCGTGATTCATAACTGCGGACAACTTAGACATTCCCAGAAGCTACCCAGTCTGGGAACTAGTGCCCAGTCTGCAATGTAAAGATAGACACCTAATTCCTGCACAGGTTCCTAGAGTGTCCATCCATTTAGTGATCATCTTTACCATGAAAGACAGCATCAGGCTTACCTTGGAAGAAGAAAGAAAGACTTGCATGTGCACATCTACCGGAATTCCAAAGTCTGACCTTGATAATGTGCTCTTAGTAACTTGCTTGATGATGAAAATGAGGATGCTTAAAAATAAATCATTTCAAATTTCTTGCATTTCACTTTTTCAGAAATATTCTTACTCTGATGAATGCATTTGACTTGCCAGAAGGTAATGTAACCCAAGATAACTTTGAACAAATGCAGCAGCTGTGTAACATGACTGATCCGGCAACTTTTGCAAGCCTGAAGTTTGAAACCTGTGATCTGAAAACTTTCCTGAATGATGTAAGTTTAACACCCAACTCATATTGATACCTTAAATATGGTATGAATGCGTAGTAATTATTTAATTGCAAAATGCTTTTTCTTCTGAGGTTATTGGTTTTTTTTATATTTCCACCGATGGATTGCAGTTGGCTTGGAATGCTCTTGGACTGAAGAATTACTTTTGTTTGCCCCGTTTTTCTTGTGAAGAGATAAACTATTTAATTCCCCTGAAAAGTATCAACGGTCTGTCACAGTGTTCTAGGCTGGCCTCAGGTAGCTGGCAAAATAGCAGCAGGTCTTTCTCTGAAACTAGCTGGTTACAGCTGTGGTGGGACAAGATGACTGGGAAAGAGACACCCAGAGAGAGGTTAAAAAGGTGGTGAGCTACAGATGAAAATAGACGTCCATGAAGTTCCATAAAAAAGAATATTAAATAGATTTTGTATTATATTACAGTAAATATATCCCTGCATTAGGAGGTCTTTGTGGAAACAAAAAGCATAAGTACTATGGTATGTGTAGCATACATCAAGTCTAATGAATGCCAATAAAAATTTAAGTGCTGCATGATGTTAAGGAGCTTCAATCTTCCACAGGGAGCTGAAGGAACTGGCTTAGCCTTTATTGTCTTCACTGAAGCTATCACCAAAATGCCCGTCTCACCTTTGTGGTCCATTCTCTTCTTCATCATGCTTTTCTGCTTGGGTTTGTCATCTATGTTTGGAAATATAGAAGGTGTGCTTGTACCTTTACAAGATCTTAAGATTATACCCCCCAGAGTGCCTAAGGAAGTTGTTACTGGTAAGTGCCTTTTAAACACAAGTGACTTCCCCAGGGAACAGCTTTTATGCTGAAAAAGCAACTCACCACCCATCTACTTTCTGATCTGGAATGGTCCTAAGACACCCAGACAACCTACTGAAGACTTTCTCATGTCCCCCAGTGGGGCAGCTCCCGAGAGGTTCCTTTTGAGCCTGCAGGCAGCTGTTCGCCCTTTGGCTTGCTCATCAGCTTGCTCATGATGACTGCCCATCTCCTCCACTGGGAAGCTGGAGGACCCAAGTCCTTCACCCAGGCAGGTTTTCTCTCAGAGCAACAGTGCCCCACCAAGAAGGAGGAAGAAGACCTGTTGTCCCTCCTCAGCTTTCTCCCCTTCTGTTTGTAGCATCTCCCACCTGTGCAATGTTAGGACAGTTTTGCCATTTTACCTGCACAGAAGCAGGCCTTCTCGGAGCGCTATTAAATAATAAAGTGGTGACCTTCAGGCTGCAAGAATTACTTATTAAGCTTTATAGTTACTGGGAAAATACATTATTATTATTATTATTGTTGTTGTTGTTATTATTTTCTTTTTGCTTTTACTTTCTTTGCCTAAGTGTCCTGTTGTTTTGTTGTTGTTTTTTTTTTTTTTTCCCCCACAGGTCTCATTTGTTTGGTGTGTTATTTGATAGCTTTTGTTTTTGTGCTGAATTCTGGTAATTACTGGCTGACTCTATTTGACGGTTATGCTGGCTCTATTCCCTTGCTGATAATTGCATTTTGTGAGATGTTTGCAGTCGTCTACATTTATGGAATAGACAGGTATGAAATACAGCTTAAACATTATTAGATAGCAGTGTATAAAGTTGCATAATGACAATCTTGCTGCATCTCCGTGCATAGCATTTCTGTTATAGAAATCACTGAGATGATGCAACTGTAGTTTAGGCTTTCTTATATGTTTTAGCTTTGTTAAATAGTTCTCAACAAAAAGAAAAAGTATTTATTAGGAATTTGTACCAGAAACTTCTCCACTTTATTAATACATTATAATAAATAATGCTCTTCAACAACCAGCTCAAATAAACACATGACTAAGATATTGTAAGAAAATATTAGGCATTAATAAGTGTGCTAGAGTGTAATAATATGAGTGCAAATAATTTATATTTAAAGTAGGCATCAGAATGTAGGTGTTTGCAAGTTACATAAGAGCCGCTGTAGCTCACTTACATTTTAAATATGGTGATATTTACAGTAACTCTTCTTCAGGATAATTATATTAAATATTTAGTTAGCAGAAACAAAGTACAAGTGCACTGAGCTCAAAGTTTAAAACAGAGGTATATCCCAGGAGTGTTTACAGCGAATGCTTAATGATACTGTCCAATGCAGGCTGCAGATACTGTTTTACAGCAGGATGCAAATCCAAGGCTACTGAGATACATTCTTAGCTGATAGACTCAGTACTTTAACAGTTGTAGTAGTGAGTAATTATCCTCTCAACTTTCCAGAGATGTAATAAATCAAATTGCAGCATCTTTATGTTTATAATTAATATGTAAGAAATATGAAAAAGAGCACTGGGAATTCAGTCACCCATAGGATTTGCTTGAACCTGTGCTAGGTCCCCCCACTGCTGCTCCTGGCAATGGGGTGAATGCCCTTGTGGCCAATCTTCCCATACTTAAAGATTTATATTACCTGAGTTGGCATGAATCACCTTAGATAAATTAGACAGAGTATCCTTGAGAAAGAAGGCTTATTTTAATTTGTTAAGGACAGAAAAGTCTGTGTTGACCACTTTTCCTTACCTTTAAGATCTCAGAATGCTTTACAAAGTAAAATTAAAACTATTCCCAGGACACAAATGTGGGCTGACTTTAAAAAGGAGTGGAGGTTCATTCAGAACAGAGCTTCACACCAAACTTTAATGTTTCTGGCCAGTACACATCACTGTAGCCCTCTTTGAGAACAGAGCTTATTGGAGCTGCCCAGAAGTGCTCCAGATGAGTTTCTGTGACCTTTTTCTGAGAAAGGGGCATTGGTAAAAAGATAGATCTCTTGCTTGAAGGATAATGTGTGTTATCCATGGCACTCATAGGAACTACACCTGGACATGCCCTGAAGTCGGGATGTGGGGCTCCATATCATTTTAGGACACCTAGATCTAAGAAGTTAGGGATGAAAAGATGAAGCAAATTTATTTGAGGCTTTGCTGAATTCAGTGTGTTGTTCATAGCTGAAAGACCAAGTGAATAGCCCCCTCAGGCTTATCCCCACAAGCTACACAGGAAAGCCAGACAAGAGGACTAAGAATAGAACCCCAAACTTCCAAACTAACTATTTTTTAAGAAGTGTGTGCACAAGGTGTTGTCATAAATTGGTGCAGGACTGATGCAGACAGTATCACTCTCAATGCAGGGATTGTTTCTTCTTATAGAAGTATTTTTTCCCCATTGTCCACTGCACATTCTTTGAATAGTCCAAATAATGCATTTTTAGATGTTCTTAATAATGTGGAAAGTTAAATATTGTTTCAGTACTCAACCTGAGAAAACTGGTAGAAATCCAAATTAAGCTAATATTATGTACAGAATCTAATTAGTAAAATTACTGCAATATGCTTTTGTTCTTTTTTAATATTGTGCCATTCCTTTTAATTTATACAGCAACGAGACGCTTACCAAGAAGTTGTGAAGCAATACAACAATATGTTTTAGGGAAAGTCCATCTGTATTGACTCTTACCTGTTGAAACTATTTTGCATATGCCTCACAGACTTCTAGAAGATAGTACATTTCCCAAAATAATTTTCTTGACTTGTAATTATATATGCTTAAATTGAACTACTCAGATTTAACCCCTGATGTTGTTGACAATTCCAGTTTCACATCGACATTAGCAAAGTCCTGGGAAGCACAGCTAGGGGTAGTTTGGGCTTTTCTGTTTATGAGCAGGCACTCTTTGATCCTCACCAGTTTTTACAGTCCTGAACTTCCTGTTTTTGTTTTTAGGTTTAACAGGGATATTGAGTTCATGACTGGACACAAGCCCAATATTTTCTGGCAGATTACCTGGAGACTAATTAGTCCTCTCATTATGTTAGTTATCTTCATCTTTTATCTTGTGGTGAATGTCAGCAAAGAACTGCTTTACAGCGTTTGGGACCCTAACTATGTAAGTATATAAACCAAAATAGTTTTTAATAATTATGTATTCTTCTTTAATGTAAAAGTCATGGTCAGATATATTCATCTCCCACCTGAAACAGTTTTCTAATTGAAATATGCTATGAGAAAAAGTATTATTAAACAATAACACTTAGAAAAACAAGTCCTAAATTCAGCTGTAATGCCTGCAACTGATATGTAGTGATACCTGAATAGCTTTTCCAAAGTGGATAAAACCAAAACACTAGTCCAGTTTTCATGCAGGTCTGAAACAGATATCGGTTCCCCAGTAGGGATTATAGAAGATCTGGAAATGTCACAACCTTTCCATGTTGACAAAGGACCAAATCTTTGAAACCATTTTGATATTGCATTTCTTTCTGCTTGCATTTAAAATCACAGAACAGCAGTAGTGCTGGTTACTCATCACTGACAGAAGAAATTAATATTAATATTCAGATATCTCCTTTCCTCTTCCAAATGTTTTGGTTTGATTTAACTTATGATTGCAGCCATAAGTTACCTACTTTTCCTTTCCTCCCCTTGCAAAACAAAAAGCTGTATGTGGTACAGAGAAAGGAGTATTAGAAAAAATGTGAGTCCCATCATTTTCTCTGTCAACCCACCTCTTCTCTTCCTGTCTAGCTCTGCTTTCTGTTCTATGACCTTATTCTAGTCACCATCTTCAAAGCAGAAACAGTCATGCCACACACTTAATTTGTAAAGATAATTTTAATTTTCTTAGGGCAGACACAGAAAGGGAGAGAAAGGAAGATGGGGAAATGGGAATGCTTTCGTCTCTCCTCCTTGACAACCTCACTTCCTTCTTAATAAAGTTTCAACTCTCCTTCACCCTTTGATTTCAACCTTCCCACCCAAAGGCTGTTTGACCATCAAACTTGCTTCCTTCATGTCATCTTCTTTCCATCAATTTTAGGTAAAAATAATTCCAAAACAGTTGAGACTGGAAATCCTTGATCTGAAAGCTGCTGTGGAATTGGCAAATTGTTGCGCCATTGTGGCCAGCTACTGTTCCAATTACATTGTTGTTCCATTGAATTATTGAATGTGAATTATTGAATGTGTCCCAGGTATTTACTCTTCACAACTTTCTACAACTTGATTGTTTGCTCTTACAGGAGGAGTTCCCCAAAACGAAGAAGCTCGAATATCCCCCTTGGGTGTATGCTGTTATTGTGGTCCTTGCTGGAGTGCCTAGTTTGACCATCCCTACTTTTGCCATCTACAAAGCCATCAGAAATCGCTGTGAGAAAAAAAATGACCGTGCAGGCCTTATTGCTACATCTGAGACTTCCATTAATGGAAACTTGAAGTATTCATCATAAATCCACTTTTTAAAATGTGGAAGGAAGCTTTGACAGTGAGGAAAGTAAAAAAATTTTTTAAGAATCGGGAGTTTTCATGAAAGGGTAACTGTGTTGTTTCCAGGTAAACATTTACTTGGCAACGCAATGCACTGTAAAGAGTTGATGTCCTGGAAGCAAATGGTGACATTTGCAAGTGATTGGGTCACCAGGCCAAATAGTTTGTCCTCCTTCTGGTTTTGAAGCCAGATTGTTTGAAATGGGCTTTCATCCCCTCTGAGTGGGGAAGCACTGTGCTTGAAATGCTCTAAGTGACTCTTTCATGTGCAGTCATTCTGGTCGGTGGCTAATATGAGGGGTAACTTAATACTGTATTCTCTTGCACATTAAATTTTTTTTGTTTTACATGCCACTGTGTTGCACAAGGCCACCAATATTATTTGTCTCATGCAGAAGTTTAAAATATTTAATAAAAACATTTCTAAGTATGAGAATGACAGCTTGATTAATTTAGAATTTTATGTATTTTATAAATTAGTTTCAAGTTCCCGGCAGATAGTGATGCTTCTGCTGATGACAGCAGAGGTAAACTTGCAATAGGGCAGCAGCAGTTCAGGAAACAGCAAAATCTGCCTTCTCTGGCATCCCTGAGCAAGGGGTGCACCACTTGCCTGGGAGGTCCAGGCTGATGGGAGAGCCATGGCACCCAAATGGTGCAAAGGTTCTTGCCCACATCTGTCACAATCAAGGTGTGTGGCTCTGGTTCATGTACACACACAAACACACACACACAGGTACACTTATCTTACAACTGTTTCAAGCTTCTAACTTCCATGTGACTCAGAGGAGCTCAGTGAGAAGTCCCACTCCTCATATGGCCACCTGAGACAGAAAAGGGCACTGTTGAGCACCTGGGCTGAGTGCCAGAAGCAGGCAGTGTACATGTCCCCTCTGCACAGGTGGTCCTTTCCATCCAACTGTCCATGTATATGGGCAACACATTTGCAGCAATCCCTTGCAGCAATCCCTATACTCACATTTTAAAACAAGAATGGATCCAATTTACAGCCTGACACTGATTATAATTGAAACACTCTCTTACAAGAAATAGGTATACTTCAGGTATATTTACTATAGAATGTATCTTTAGAGTAGTATATCTGTTCTAAATAGAGAGTAAAGTAAGAGGCATTGCATGTGTACTTCATGGAATCATACAATCAATGGTTTGGTTTGGAAGAGACCTTAAAATCATCTACTTCCACCCCTCTGCCACAGGCAGGAACACCTTCCACTAGACCAGGTTGCTCCAAACCCCCTCCAGCCTGGCCTTGAATGGTTTCAGGAATGGGGCATCCATAACTTCTCTGGGCAACCTGTTCCAGAGAATTTGAATGATCAAAATAATTTCCATTCCAATTTCCATTTTTTTAGTTACTCAAATGTAATTATTTAAACTATTTAAAGATGTTACTATTTAATGGGAAAAACATTTTTTGTCAGATTTTTCTGCTGATAAAAAGATCAGCCACCACGAATGGATAAAACTGAATTTAAGTGTCTGGCTGTAGGTGGCAGGTGTGGAATTCAGCATTTTGCTAGAAGGGCCCAAGTACAGCATGAGGCACATTCCTGACTGGAAGTACGGCAGCGGCCGGGGCGATGGTGGTGGGTGCCATGGCTGTGTAAGTGCTGCCAAGCTTCACTGCAGACACAGACTCGTGTGGCCTGTGAGACAATCTTGATAAGAGACTGGCAAGTTGAGTTGCTCCATCTATGGATCTGGATATTTGCAGAGCTGCAAGCAGAATGAGCTGTACCAGCCTGGAAAGGCTCGTGTAGCCTAGATCTGAAACTGGCTTCTGATTGCATAATCTGCAACTTGACCATATTTTTGTACTTAGCTCCAGAGCAGGGCTTTTATTTTGGAGAAAACAATTCACCTTCACTTAGATACTCTTCCCATTTCAAGAGGGTAATCCAGCCACAAAGTGTTGATTTACTGAACAAAGCAAGCAGACTGGCTGCTCTGTTTAGTGTGGAATGAACTGATTCAGCTTGCAAACTAGCAAAATCTTGGTATAACTGAAAGAAAACAGAAAAATATTCTCACATACTTTCAATTGAAGAAAAGTATTCAGCTCTTGCATTCGTCAATAACTATTTAATGAACAATAAAATAGTCATTGGGGATTCATTGACAAGTGGGAAGTGAAACTTCTAGCAGCTACTGTAAAAATGGACCAAATTCTTATGTCTGAACATACAAGGTCTAATTTTTCTTGCTTTTCTTCCTAATTGACTTTTTGAATTTGCAAAGGTGCCTTCATTCATTTACTTCTATTAGCAAACTAGTAAAGGAAATGGCAACATTTTATTCACAGATTTTTACCAGTATTTTACAGTTTTAATTAGTCTGTTGTAAAGGTTTCTTTTTAATTATATTCAGTGTCACACTTCTCTGACAGATTCTGAGAACAGAAGGAGAACAGAAAATAAAAACCTGTTTGATCCCAAGTTACCCATTAACAACATATTCCCAAACTCTCTAACTACAGAAGGAGCTGCAAAAACGCAAGAGTGGTAACTATATAATAACAATTCCTAGTTTTGTCTTTAAACTGCAGCCTTGGCAATGATACATTCCTTTGTATCAGATAAAAAGAGAGCTCCACCTCTCTTCCAGGATCCTCCTGTCACCCTACATAAAACCTGTAGGATACACAGGTTTTGAAGCATCTTCAAAAGCATCTTATAGGGAAAGGGGCTAAGGAGCCAAGGATATTTCATTAAAATGTCAAAAGATTTATCAGCAACACCTGAAATCCCTAAAGAAGATGGCAGACCCAAGTGGGACAATAAGTTCCAGTATATTTTAAGCTGTATCGGATTTGCTGTTGGTCTGGGGAACGTGTGGCGATTTCCATACTTGTGTCAGATACATGGAGGCGGTAAGATTGAAATGAGACTTTGCCAAAATATTACACTGCAATTCTAATATAATTGTACTGACTTCTGAGAGGTATGGAAGTTATATAATTTGTATCAGTTACATCACATTTTTTAAAAAAACTATCTAATTCTCATAAATGTTTTGCTCTAGTTAGATTAGCTTTTTCTATAGAAGTATATTTCATTTTAAAAGGATGCATTTGTTTAGGAAGACCTGACTGATGCTCGCTCTCAGAAAAGGCTATTTTAAAGTTTTTACATTACTACAACAGTCCCAATGGGACCAGGAGACTGAACCTGCAACTGGCTACCTTAAGGAGAAGCGAGAAGTCCTAGGGAGGATTGAGCGAACTGACGCCCAGCCAAATGGCCACTGAGTTTTCCATTGGGAAGGTGAGCAAGCCATTCCTTCTCTGATGCTCTTAGGAGCTACCTCATCATCTGGACCTGTCCCTGCAGAAAACTAAATTGTGCTTTTCGATGTCTGAGAGGCTGTTTAAAATGCTCAGCTGATAGAACAGCAGCAGGAGCCTGTCAGGTGGTGTGGACAGGTGCCCAAACCAGTTCCTGGGCACCAGTTCCACCAAGAATTGCTTTAGAATCAGACAATTTGGTATATATAAATGGATCAGAAAAGAGTGCTTGGTAACTCACCATCCACAGTAGCTTTTGAAATCTGCCACTGTCTAAAGCAGAGTGAGACAGCAAAATGTTTCAGCCCAATATTATTTGTTATCTTTCAATTAATTGGAGAAACAGAAAATTCAAACCTGGAGAAACTGTCAAATGACAGAAAACATTATTAAATCCAAGCTTGTTTTACTAAGGTATCTGTATTTCTTGGTGAACTACATATATTACAATCAACCAAGGAACCAAGAGTGGATGTTGCCTTTAATGGAAGGTGTTTCAGAAAGGAGTAGCTACTTAGGGACTCTGGTAAGCAGCTCAATGAATGAGATACAGCAGGTTGTATCAACAGAAGGAATCTTGGCATATAAAAGCAGAGCACTAGGAAGTAGGTAGAGATACTGCTACCAATACTAAGTCAGCTTCTGAATCTCTGACTTTTTCTGAAAGTCTACTTTTCTAAGTCAACTTGAAAAATTAGACAAAATGCAGACAAGCCCCAACAATTATTCAAGGGCTGGAAAACTTGTGGGACAAGAAACAATTTAAGAATTCAATCTATTTAGGTAATGAAATTGAAAATGAAAAAGTATGTCTATCATAGTCTTTAAACAAGAAAATGGAAATTATTTTGGTGGCAGGGAGCTTTTTAACATTGAATATGTAACAGCTGAAAGTTACAATTACACAAATATAAATAATGAAAGACAAGATGCAGTAGATTAGATTCCTCCCAGGAGTTTTGGTGGTTTCCATTATTTATTTTCAAGATGAGAAACCCAGTGAAATTCCCTTAGAGAAGTGCCATAACTGGGTGGCTAGAAAGCCATAGGTTCACACTATTTCTCTGCATTTGTCCATGGGAATGACTGGAAAAAACCCAGTCATTTCAGTTGCTGATGCTTGCATTAATGAGACATGATAAAGACCTTTAGAGAGACATCCCCATAGCAGATATGGCATGAGACCTGCAATGAAAATGTTCTGGAGCAGGAACTGCAGGTCAAATACTCTACAGCATCCCAGATGGCCTTTCAGTCTTGCAAAGCTAAGGAAGACATGTACAGTATTAACAAATAACACAATAAAGTTAACATAATATGATATTTTTGTAATGTAATGAATGATTAACACAAAGCATTCAGTGGAAGGTTTGAAACTCACAGGCAGTTCTCATTGCACAGAGCTGCTTCTGGGGCCACCAACTGCGTGAGGCTGCATGAAATTTGTGCTTCAGAGTTTTGTGCAAATCTAGATTAAGATGAAATATTGTGCTACTGACTCTAAAAAGGCTCTCAAACCTTCCCATGAAGCACCAGTCATTGTTTCTCCATGCTGGAGGTGGGGGAGCAGCTTTGGCCAACAGTTTTTCAGTATCTTCAGATCCCAGCCTTGCTTCAGAAGACAGCAATGCTCACCTGTTACTGTGGTTTGATCTCTCTCATCCATCCTCCCTTCTGGGATCCCCTGCATCCCTGCCCTACAGATCTCACCATTCCAGGAGAAGTGTGAGATCGACTGCAAGGAGACCCATGGTGACCTGTCTAATGGACTGAACAGTGTTCAGAAAGTCTGTTTGCTTGTGTTATCTGGCTCCAGATCTCTGATATTTCCCACAGGAACTGCTGGGACAAAAAATACGGGGGTTAGAGAAGGTTTAAAGATAATAAAAATAGGAAAATGCTGCAGGGATAAAGGCTGAGTTGCTCTTTTGCTCTGTGAATAGTAATGTTGCCAGTGAAAAATCAGTTTAAAATAGCTATCAGATTCAGTAATGGTAAACATCATCACAAACAGTGGCACAAGACAGTGGTGATTTAAGGTCAATGTATGGATGTGCAGCCAGTGTTTGGTCACTCAGCCTCAATAAAGGGCTCGAAGAGCTCAACAGCAGGATGAACCCTGTAATAAAGTGTGGTGGGGTTTGTGAATATCCCAAAGAGATGACATTGGAAAAGTTGAGTGGGTCATGAAGATCACTGAGAAGACAGAGCTGTTGGTTTTACACTAGTGCATAAGGTAGTTGCATTTTTCTTCTGTTAGTTTAAGGCAGTGATGTGATTAGGGGTTGCATTTTTGAAAGTAAACAACTCAGACGCAAAAGCCTGATAGATTTTCAGGAGTACTGGAGCATAAATCCTGTTTGTGTGCATCTGAAGATGTGAACGTGGGAGAGAACAGCAGCAGTGGGAGAGAACAGTTAACTAGGAGCCCTGAGAGCTGCAGTGGATTGTGCCTGCAGCCACAGTCATAAGTGCAGTTAAACCTGGTATGGATATGGCATAGACATGCTCGAAGGCTGAATAGTTTCTGTGGTGCAGTTTCGCAGCTGGTTCGGGTGATATCCAAGTATTTAAGTGTTAGGCAATGTACTTTTCCTCATTTCTACATGTTTTAAAAAACAAGAGATGAAAACAAGTGCTTGCGTTTTTGGCTCATGTCAGCTGTTCCCATCAGACCTCTGGACCTGATTCATTGCACATTAGTGTTACTCAGTAACTCGTATCTAATATAATATCAGTTTTGCTGACATTTATCACCTGCTGCCGTTACTGATTATTTGGATTTATTGCCTGAGTTAAGTTAGTTATTTACTTTTCATGACTAATGGGTATGAAGGTTGTTTGCCACAGTCAGTGCAGACAAACACAAATGTTCCCAGGCAACTGGGATTGAAAAGAAGTCTCTAAAAAGCCCAGTATATTGTTGAGACACTAACAAGTGTATATTGACTCAGTATATATTGAGACACTAACAAGTCATATAGCTATATGTGTACACATAGAGTCATCTGAGTATACTTCAGAAAAATCATCACAGTTCTAGCTGAACTGACTGCAATGGTTTACTTTCAGTTTTCGCTAGTATATGCTTGCCTAGCTCATGGGCATTAAAAATGTGCCTGAGCCTATAAGATGACTGAAAAAATAACTTCAATATAAAATACAGTTTCTTTCTAGGAAAAGAAATACGCATAAACACTACAGTCATAGTAAAAAGGGAGAACTGTTTACTTCTGGGGCAACCATTTACAGATTTTCATAACCCTACCTGACCTTTTGCTCAAACTTGAACTATGACTTGCTGCTAAATGCCCGGCTCACTGTGTCCTCAGAAAGAAAACAAAACCCAAGAGGAACAACATGTATACCTGGAAGATACTGTAAAGACACACAAACCCAAACACAGTATGTTGGGAAGTGCAAAACAGTTCACTCTCTGACAGAAAAATTGTGTTACAGCAAGCAACAAACTTAATTTTCTGGATTCTTGTCGTGTTCAGCTCAAGTCCTTGGTGTAAAGCTGTGACATTTGGAGTTGATCCTTTCACAGTTTGTTATATTTGTTTGCCCTTTACAGCTCAGGCCGGTGCAAGTGAGTGCGGCTTGCTTGCATCCTTTAGTCATGAGTATTTCAAAGGAAGTTCGCCAAGATTATTTTATAAGTTGATCTATGGGTGTTACATGTTTTTGTTTGAAATGGCTATTGCACCCTTGGATTTCTGGACTCAGCTTTAGCTCCTTCAGTGTTGCTCAAGGAAATATAGTAATTTACAGGGGAAATTCAACCCTGCCAAATCTCAGAGTCTGTAAGGTGTACAATGTGACTTGCAAGTCAAAATCAGTGCCATCATAAATATGCTGCACAAATATGATGTTTATACTAGCTCATACTTTTCATCTGAATTGAGGCACGTGCAGAAGACATAATAAAGGTCATGAAGCACATTTTCTAGAGAGAGGAGTGAGTGTAATTAAATTGCTCCTTTTTTCCTACCACGTCTTGATGTGATTCCTTGCTGTGTTTACTACACTGCTCAGCTGAACTCCCATAGAGAAAATGGGACGGGTCTGATAATCCCCTTTCAATAGCTAATAGCTTTTTCTCTGTATCTGAACAAGTAATTACCACCTACTGCAATTTCTTGTAGGTAAAACACAAATTGCCGTAGGTATCTTGCCATTAAGTCCTCAGCATTTTGGAAAAGTGCATCTATTGCCCTTCCTCCTATGTACCAACAGAACCAGTAAAGTGGATCTCTGAATTCTTGTTGCATTGTATCACACTGAGATGTGCTTTCTGAACTTTTCAGACTCTACAGATGCATTTGAAGTTACTGTTTTTACACTTTCCAGGTCATTTCAGTCTTTATCATAATTATTTTTTCTATTGCTAAATCTCTATCTGAAGGAAAGTTATTATTCAAGTTCTGCCCTTTCAAATGTTTTTGTGTCTTTAGATCATCATTTCAAATCGCTTGCCTTTCTTCTGCAAGCTGATCCACAAGCACTGCTAAGATGCAAAATTGAACACACGGGTCAGTTCCTGCAAGTTTTTCTCCAACATTTAGGAAGTCTTCCTTAGTATCCCATCATCAAGCAAAGCTACTAGGTTTTCTTCTCTGCTTCTCACTGAGACTCATCGATTTCTGCTGACCTTGGTATATGTAGATCAGGAGGTCACCTGGCTGATTCTTCAAGCTGCCTTACATTTCCACTAGTCAGGTCTGTTGGTCTCTCTTTCTAAGAAGTTGCAAACCCAGTTAGGTTCTTTCACTCTGTTTTGCTGGTTGATGTGAACCAACTTTACACTGTGCTCCTTCCTGACCCTCCTTGTCATTCTGCCCTGTGGTGCATCAGCAGCTCTCCCCAGGCTGCATCATAGCACTTCTCATCCAGATTGTCATGTGCAGGTGATATAACAAAGATCGTGCTCTTCAAGTGTCATTCTGCTAAATATGGTTGAGCAGTTGCCTGTGCATTGCGATCAAGGGGTCAGGTTAAAAACCCTCAGTGTATCTTGAGTGCACCAGGTCCTTTCTTCTCTACTGCTGCGACTGTGGAGCTACCTCCACTCCAGCGGTTCTTCACCAATTGTGTCACACACTGGTGCTCCTTGTCATTTGGGACTCTATTCTTAATGGAACCAGCTCACCAGTGTGTCCAGTATTTGCAGTTGTTGATAGCCTGATTCGAAAAATTCTTGAAGGCTTTCTGTGCCTTCTCATGTGCACAGGGATTGTTCCAAAGCTTTGTGGCACCCTTGTGCAGGATCTCCTTCCAAAATAACTTTTAACTCTCATAGACTTTGAACTGGGTTTCCCCCTTCCCCTTGACCTTCTTTTAGTACTTCATGTATCTACTTGCTTTATGAATCTTCAGTGTCTTTCTGACAGAAGGAGTGATGTAGACTAAAATTTTCCTAGGTCATGCCTCAGGGATGCAACTAAATCATGCTCTGGCAATACTCTCAATTTTTATGGGCGTTTCTCCAGACTTTAAAAGTACTTAAAAATACTTCATCACTATCATTTTCTTAGTCATATTTTGAGAGGAAAAAATTACTGAAAATAAACCTTTTTTAAAAGAGGTTCCCCCATCCCTGGCTTGCTTCTTATGTAGTTTATTTTCCTTTCATTGTAGAGCATATAGATCTAGAATATATAGATATAAATATACCTAGAATGTCCAGATACAGGATAATTTGTTACTAGTGTTTTATGATTGTTTCTGCTAAGATTTCCTTCTCCCATGCCTCATGGAAGCCAAATCTACAGAGTTTCTCCTGTGCCTGTGCTACGCATCATATGGGTTCTGATGGGGTTTTGCTGTGCCTGTGTTTGAATGCTCTGGTTTGTGATATCTGCTGTGTGTTAGGTACCAGCTTGCTGATTCATTCTGCTCCTTGGATTTTCTGCTTGCTTTTTCCACTGTTAGATTTCTCAGTGCATTTTTTAAAAAACGGTGCTTAAATTTTGCCTTCTTGTATGTCCTCTTCTCTCTATTAAACAGAGCCCTTGAGTATACAGTATTAGAGGGTTCCTACTCACTATTCCATATATGATACCTTTGTGTTAATGCATTTCTGGTTTTGCTGTAGGTGGGGAACTTTATTGTGGAAAAGAGTAAGCTTCAAGTGCTTCAGCAGGCTGACTGTCCTTCTCCTGACTATTTTCTTTTTGCCTAAAAATAGGGTAATGCAAAGGAATGAATAACTGGAAACTTAATTTTACACTACAAGCTGTTTACTTCAATTAGATTCGAGAAAGATTGGCTTCATAAACTATTTCTTCTTAACCAAATCTTCTGCCATATTTTCATATTTGCCGATAGCAGATTTTTTATAGTGTTCTCATGAAAAACCAGTATCTTCTTTCCAAGTGTGACATTGCGTTTTGCCACGCTGTAAATATGCCTGGAGGTACACACAAGCCTGCACAAAGTAAACAGGTTTTTATCAGCAGAATGTCTAAATGCTTTGCTGTCACTGGCTCAACTAGCAAACAGAAAAGGGGAGAGAGATAACAGAGGGCAGTTTGCACTAATTATTACATAGTTATTTCCCAGGAGATATGATATGGGAGATAGGTTGGGCTCTTATGGAGTGCTCTGTTAGCAAGGCCTCAGCACTGTGTGGATTGCAGCAAGACAGCTACTGCCCAGAGCTGGTGTATGGCCAGGCAGCCGGACAAAGAAGTAGAGTGCTCCATACTGTGGTGCTCTGGTCACTTGCCTGAATATTTTGCTCTTCTCAGGGGCCAGTCCAAGGCATTGGGCTGTCAGGTGTGCTGTGGAGAGGGATACTGCAGCAGGTTTGAAGCAGAGCACAGAACTGAGCATGGCAAGAGATTACTGAGTTCTTGTGGAAGGGACCTCCAAATTCCTTCACATTTACATGGGAGCTTTGATAAGTAGCTCCAGGTGAGATTTCATCAGGTGGCAAATAAAAATAAACAAATTACTGTGGTCCTTAAGTCCCTCCGTAAATCTCTCTTGGAGGGGGGAGTTTGTAACAGCCACTTTGGAGCTTCCTCCAAGGACAAGGACTACTGAGCAGGGGTACCAAGGATCCAAATCAAGGATTTAACATACTGGGAATTAACTGTGAGACTCCTTTTTCAAATCTGCTTCTTAGCAGTTAAAAACATCTTAAGAGTTCAGGTCATAAGGCAAGACATCTATTTCCACCTTTGGCAATTTAAGAACAGTCCTCCAATCCTGCTGATTTTTTGATAGAAGGCTCAACCATTCGACACCACACCTTCTTGGGATGTTGTATGTATTTATTGCAGCTCCTAGCAATAGGTAGTGAAGTTACTGCAATACAACACTAGCCTAAGTGATTAGATTTATCTGCCCAGCCTTTCTAAATAACCAGTGATTGCAGAATCCTGGCGCCACTCCAGGTGGAGAGGGCAAATCCTTCTGCATTCCCCAACCTCCCTCTCAGGGCTGAAGACTGAGCATAGAGCAGAGCTACCCTGTTCTGCTCTCTCAGATGGGGATGGTGAGGCTGATCTCCCTGCCAACCTGGAGGGAGAGGAGAAAGTTTCCAGAGCTGGAAGAGCAGAGCTGAGCAGACTCAGATACGAGATTTGGAGGCAAAGTAGAAATGGTAGAACAAGGCACAGGTTTATTGACAAAGCAATGAGGAGCATAGAGTCAGTACACATTGGTAGGAGGACTGGGAGGTGGCTGAGGCAGGACTTCTGTCTTTGTTTCCCCGGAGAAAAGAGGCTTCGTGGTCACAGTGGTTGTTGGTCATGGCAATAAACTTCAATCTATTACACCATTTCAATTTGATTGGACATCTGGGCAGGTGGTATAAATATCCTGATGGAACTTCTCCTGGTCTCATAAAAATCAGTATCTGTACAAAAGAAGGGAGACCCAAACCCATGTCCTTTCTGAGGGCAGGTGTGGGAAACAAGGAATTGCACACAGTTTAGCAGGAAATAATCAGGCTGCTGGCAGGACTGGTCCCTTCCCACAGGTAACCAACAGCATGTGCTGCTTCTGGCCCAAAGGAGATGCTGTGAGAAAAACAGGAAAGATGTAAAGGATACAAACTGGGAAGAAATTGGGTTTTGTTGCCCCCATGTCTAACAGAAAAACTTCAGCCTTGCTTTCAGTTTTTCATTAGCCAGAGGCTCTGTGCTCTGAGCATAACTTCATGTAATAAAGCAACCTGGTCTCTTGGGGGTATCCAGCACAAAATCATGCTTTAGCAGTGGAAGACGGAGGAGCACATGCCTGAGAGCTTTAAGAAGGGGAATAAGCCAATGCACTGAAGGGAAAACAGATGGTATAGGGGACAGGCAAATCCTTGTTCTTTATGAGAATGGGGACAAAAGATGCTTAAAAGAAAGGGAAAAGGATTAAATCGTGAGTGAAATACTTATAATGGGCTGTAGAAATGCCTGAGGAGAAGTGTCCTGCAACACTAAGCATCCCAGTCTTTCCTTCTCCATCTTCACCAACAAAATTACCAGTAACAAATTTGGTAAGTGTCCCTAGAAATGATCCCTTACTCATCCTACACAGACTTTGTTAGGTTCATAAAGCAGATTAATGACCAAACGGTAATTTTAGTGAGATGCAGATAATCATGTGACTTAATTGCACTTAATTGTCTTTTCAGGGGCTTTCCTGATCCCATACTTCATTGCTCTTTTCTTCGAAGGAATCCCACTGTTGCATCTTGAATTGGCCCTAGGACAGTGCCTGAGGAAAGGCAGCATTGGTGCCTGGAACACTGTCTCGCCTTACCTTGGAGGCGTTGGTACGTCTCTTTGGGTCCCAGCTCAGGGAATTGCAAATGAGCTCCCATCCAGCACACACTTCCTACACACCTATGCCTGATGCTTTTTAAGATACAAAAATTAATGAGTGTTAGGATTAGAGAGAATTTCTTTTCCATGAGGGTGGTGAGATACTGGAACAGGTGGCCAAGAGAGAGGTGGTTTCCCCGGAAATTGTCATGGTCAGGTTGGGTAGGGCTCTGAGCAACCTGATCTAGTTGAAGATGTCCAACCCAAACAAATCTATGATTCTATAATTCAGTATTGCTCTTATCAGGTATTACTCTAGGCACAGAGGAGCCTAAAATGCAAACCTCATAACCTTTGCTGTTGGAAGCATAATGAATGTGAGCTCTGCTAGCCAACACTGTCCTGTTCCTACCGTATCTTGGTGCTCACTCAAGGGCTGCCCGCCCACAGTGCTTCTTGCTCCTCCGTGACAGCCCCTCCAGAAGCCAGTCTTCTCTGTCCATGAATAGTCAGACTGAAGGGAGGACCGAAAGACATGAAACCAGGAACAGGATCTGGCCACCTCCTAATGAGTTTAAAGCACCTGGGAAAGCTGCCCTCCACAAGAGGGGGCCACAGTGGGGCTACTGAAGGGACATTATTAACACGGCTGGGCACATGGTACAATCCACATGGCAGTGTGCATCAGATTGGTGTGTAGGACTGTACTGGCAATTCTTTGCTACTTATTGAATATACACTGAAAAAACACATCTTGTGTCCTGCATGAATTGTTAGGCTGTAGAAGTGATTGGGAACAGCCACCATGAGGACTGAAGCATTGACTCTACTAGGTATTTGAGATAGCAACCTTGTGCCTGTAGGGCAAGGAGAAGCCTCTGGATGCTCCAGCCAGCCCTGCTGGATCATGCCCTGCACTAAGCAGGTGCTTGAAATGGGCTTGGCACTGACAGCCGTGCCTGTGGGTACATGTGGGAGAAGAAGGGATGGGTGAGAGAAGTTATCTAAGGGCCAAGGGTAATAAGGAAGAAATACCAAGCAACGGGGTGGTGCTTCCAGCTAAGCCCACATCCTTCAATTAGGCCTGTCCTTTGTAGAAATACAAGCGAGCAGAAAATGTGGTGATATTCTTCCCTCCTTGTCACAGGAGCAAAACAGAGATCAATTTGGGGCATATGTGCATGATTTGGGACAAAAGAGTGGCCTCATGCAGCTACAGCATGCTGTAAAACTTCAGTCTCTTTTGGTCTCTACTATTAAAGTTGTCCCATGTTATAGAAAATAATGTATTATGTACTAGGGCAAAGGTTTCAATCCTAATCTTCTATGTAAGTAGAGAGTGTCAGCATTCTTGGAACAGGGTTGATGAGCTGGGAGACTGTGCGCTAATGTTTGGCTACTGAGGACACAAATGCCCATCTTTCAGGGGAAAATCTCTAGGAGGGGCAGGGGAGGATGGACAAGAAAATCTTGAAACAATAGGAAGTGTGAGCTTCCAAGAGCTAGTGCTGTGACTGACTGACAATTTTTTCCAAAGCTTTTCTAAGCTGAGATCTTGTGCTTTCTGCAGGTGTTGGTTCGTGGGTGGTGTCCATTCTGGTGAGCCTATACTACAACACTGTTTTAACCTGGGTGATGTGGTATCTCATAAACTCCTTCCAAGAACCTCTTCCTTGGAGTGTTTGTCCTCTAAATGCAAACAGAACAGGTAACTACAACACCATGCTAGCAAAAGGAGGATCAGAAACATCAGTGTGGGTTCACCAAGAAATCCTGAAAAGCCACATTTGATTTGGCCCTGAGTTGTGCACAAGTCCTGGTTTGATTTCACATTAAAAAGGTCCAAGAGTCACAATAGCCTACTCAAATTCATCATCCTCACAGAAACAACAAGATCCAGAAAATCCATGAGCCATTTTGCTTGATTTCAAAATGGAAAGCAAAATAACAGTGTTAAAAAAAAAAAAAAAAAGATAACTAAATAAGCAGAATAACTACTTAAAGTGGGATTCTTTGGTGCTCAGACCAAAGTCATGCTACCTGTTACAAAACTTTAGTAAGACCAAAGACAGTGTAGCTAAGCAGAACAAGGAGGACTTATGTCAGGTCTTTAAAATTGTTTTTCAGCTTTCTTTTTTGCTCAGTTTGAGAGAAAACAAGGTCCAGGCAGAGCAAGAACCATAACCTGAGTTAGAGGCTAAGTGAAGAGACAAAACATAAAGAAGTCAATCTTCTTTTGGAGGCCATAGGATTGTTCTAGAGTAGGAAGACAATAAGACATAGCCCATATTTCTTACAGAAGTAGACAAAATTATTTGGGCCTTAAGAAATAGGATTCTTTCATTTCTCAGGTTCAGATGTCCCAGTTAGGGAGTTAAACAGATGTTTTCCAAACCTGCTTTGCAGATCAACTATTTAATCAATATTTGGTATACAAAACCTTGCATTTTTAGTTTAGCATTTTTTGAAAATAATGAAGAAATCCCTTAAGGACAGATTTTTTAATTTCAGTGCCAAGATGGGAAGAACCTGCACTTCTCCATCACAAAGGCAACGTTCTCTCCAAGGAGCTGCTTCCTGAGACAAGTAGCAGCTGTTCCCATCTACCAAGCTTAGGTGAACACAGACTCCCCCAGTCTTGATGTGTGCTGGACCTCCTGGTTATGGGACAGCTATCAGTGCTGCCACACTGTGTAACTTCAGCTTTTGGAAATGCACTGAGTGTTCTCAGGATACACCCATTTCTGGTTGAGAGCAATGGCAGGGGCTGTAGCAACCAGGGAACTCGGGTTTCCAGTTAAAGAGAGCAGGTCACTGGGTTTCCTGAGGATTCTCTGTCAACCCCCTCTTCAGGGATTTAGGTTGCTCATAGGCAGAGGGGTAAGCACGGGTTGTGATGTATGTCATGTTCCCCATTCCTTTTTCTTCAGGCACAGAACGTGGCTGGGGAATGTCCTCTCTCCTGGGTGCAGGCTAGAGGTTCCCACTAACAGAACTCCTGGAAACATAAGCCAAAGAGGCTGATGCCTGGGTCTTTCCCCACTACAGGGCCATGACATCGCCAGGGGAGCCTGGCCTTAGAAGTATCCTCAGGTGCCTCAAGCCTGTTATGGCTCCACCAACTTGCAGACATACAGCTAAAAATTCCATACTCTCTAGTGCCATTAATTTAGATTTTACCTTGCACTGCATACAACACTGTTTCTATTTAGAAAGTTATCCCCTGGAGAAACGCTGGTGATGTTCTGGTGAAGGTCTCAAGTAAGTCTCAGAGTCTCAGACTGATGTGACAGAGTTTGTCTTGCTGCACTTTACACAGTGGAGAAAGTCCACCTCTGAATTTGATTTGGCAGTCCACAATTCATTCTAATACTTGCCACATTTTTTTTTTCAGGGTTCAACAAAGAATGCTATGAAAGCACTGCAGTAAATTATTTTTGGTATAGGAAGACTTTGAACATAACACCTGATATCGCTGAGAATGGCACATTACAGTGGTGGCTCATTTTGTGCTTAGCAACTTGCTGGGCAATTGTCTATCTCTGCACCATCCGAGGAATTGAAACCACAGGAAAGGTACACAGGACAGAGAAATGCATTACCCCAACCTTTGCATCTTGCTCTCCAGATACCGAGTTTTTACCACCAAGGAAAGCCTTCCCTATTTACCACACTAGCACCATTTCACTGTGCTCCTTGTCCGACGAAGCCAGAACAGCAGTACAGGTGGCTTAAAATGATGCTTCTCTCTTTCTCCATTGTAAATGCTTCTGCTCTACCAGCCTTCTCTCACACAGTTTCAAGGGCAGTTTTCTCAGAAATATATTATGCAAAAGTACACCCTGCTTCTTTTAAAGATGGCAGTATTCATCTGTAGCTGTCTTATCAAATATTATTAGGATTATATGTTGCAATAATTTAAAGAGGTTTTATTGAAGTTATTGCCAGTAACTGTTTGTCTTCTGACTTTCCTACTTTAGGCAATTTACGTAACAGCAATATTTCCTTACCTGGTCCTGACTATATTCCTTATTCAAGGACTCACTCTACCAGGAGCCACAGATGGTCTGGCTTACCTCTTCACCCCTAATGTAAGTACTGCTGCCATAGTCAGAAATATTTTTCCTTTTTCTCCCCCTCAGATTTCACACTGTATACTCATTTTCCAGCAACTCTTGATCTAGCTCTCTATCCAAGCGCTCAGATAAGCTCTTTTTTCTGAGATAAAGTGATTTAGTATTTTAATATACTTCGGCAGAAAAAAAAAGCATCAAAGTATTTAACAACCCAGTAGTAAGCATATCAGAAAATACCAAAAAATTAAGTATGTTATGGATGCCTCAGTCTTGAATGTGTAAGTAAACTTCACAAGCACATGATAAAGATGAGATTTTCATGCCAAGGTTATAGAATTTACACAACTTTAATCTTCTAAGAATTCACAAGGAAAACTAATGAGGAGTTACACACTGCAAAGTGGGGTTTTTTTAAGGTTGAAAGTAATTTTCTCCTATCCATGTTTCTCCTTAACTGCAGTTTCCTCCCCTCCATCGTAGCTGTTCCTAAAAGACACAACGGCTAGAGAAGAATGCCTCTCCCATTTTTTCTCACCTTCTCAAAGGGATGGGAGTTCCAGATCCCTCGTTTCAGAAGGCCCTTTTCACACTCTCCTTAGTGGCATTCCCAAATGAAAAGTCAGACTGTCCCTCTGAATGGTTGCTATAAACTGTAAGATCCTCACAGTTCTGCCTTTGTGCTAAAAAGCTCCATGAAATGGTGAGTGCAGAGGACGAAAGCAGCACCCACTGATAGGTGGTCTCAGAGCATCCACTGGTTCTGCAGCCACAGCGGCACTTCCAACCACTGGAGCACTGGGTTTTTCCCTTTCCTTTTCTACAACAAGAAAACAGGCATTAAGGAAAACATGAGTCAGGTAGCCCAGAGATATATTACATGCCAGGCTGGAAAGGGACAACAACAGGAGAAAGCTCAGAGGAGACATCTCTTTATCCCTCCCTCTGCAAGCCCAGCGGCATGGACAGCCATCTAAATGCTGCCAGAGCTCAAGAAGGACAACCTTGGTTATTACAGATGATCAGGACATACACTTGCATTTTTTTAGGGCCCAGACGCAACAATAAAAGCTTGGTGCAACATCTTAAGGAAGAAAGCAGGTTAGACAACACAACCAGGAACAGGGCTTAGCCTGTTGTCATTTGGTCTCAGCCTGGCTGTTGGGTTTCTCTGGAAGAGCTCAGGCATCTCTGGGACTTGGGATCACTGCACACTGAACTTAATGCAGAAAGTAGATTTGTTTATATTCCCAAAAGCTTGGAGGTATTGCAGTGCTAAGGAGGAGCGGATCATCATAAAAAGAACCGGATGGATTTGTAGACTGGTGCCAGAAGTCAGAGTGGAAATCCATCTGCAGTCAACCTGCAGTTAATGGTTAGCTAGTTTGAGGAAGCAAATCCTGGGGACATACTTGACAAGTCATCTGAAGATGGTTCTAGTGATGAAACTATGTTCTCATCTACAAACATGGGAAAGCTGATGCAACAGCCTGGTAAATTGATACCTGCTATGGGTGTTGCCATTGCACAGAAAGTTATAGTGTAAGAGAGAGACAGATGGCTTTGTTAAACCAACCCACCAACTGCTATGGAGGATTGTGGCACTTCAAGGACTTCAAAAGACAGTAAGCATAACACTGCCCTTCTCTCTTCTTCCCCTTAGCCCATAACTGCAGTACCAATATTTTCTTTCCTGTTAGCCTGTTTCATGAGGAACTATTGCCACCCCTGCCATCAATAAACACAGTCGTGTTTCCTGTTATGCTTCCCCACAAGGAATGTCCCGAAGTGAGTTGTACAGGGGGGCTATTGGTTTGTGGGTTGGGGTTTTTTTGTTGGGTTTTTTTTTTTGGGGGGGGGGAGAGATTTACCTGATCCATCCAGACCACACTTGCTTACAAAATTGTAAAGTGTGTTTCTTAAGTGTGTGCTGTTTCCTTCTTCTTTTCCTGTCTTTTGCAGGAAGTTGGTAAAGTTTTAGCAAAATAAAGTAAGAATTAGCTCACCTACTGCTTTTTTCACTTTGCTTTTAAAATAAATATATAAATAAATAAAATCAACCTTCTTGACATTTTCCACTCACCGGAGGCAATATTTTCCAACTTTTTTCCTACTTTGCAGTGCAGCACAAATTGTAGTTTCTGACAGCTGCCACATCCACCTTCTGGTAACTGTGACACCTCACTGTTCTTGAAAATCTGCGAAAGAAGTAACGCCTAGTGCTAAAAGTTATATCTTACCCAGTTTCAGGATCATAATCACCCAAATGAATTTTTTTTTCCAAACCATCACTGTTTAAGTTTATTCACTTTCTAAGTTTGTATTTCAGTTCTCATTAAAAAATATCACAAATAACAACTGCACACATACGGATTTAAAATGTGGCAGGCTATGCAGAAATACATAGGTTTTTTGCCATCTGACTTACTTTCATACCCTAAATTTTAGAACAAATAATGAATACTTCTTTTCATTGACTTTCAGACATGGAAAAGTCTGACAATTCACTCATTCTTTCTAAACTCTTGGCTACCTGGAAAATGAAGCTGCCAAGAAAATAAAAAAGACTGAAATGATGTTCACAGACACTTGAAGGGAAGCAGAAGTTGTCAAAGATGAAGCAACACAGGAGCTGGAACAGACTTTTGGAAAGGTTTTTGAAAAAAAATAAGTAATGAGAGGCAGCAGAAAAGAGATCCCATCAAGCATCAGCAAGAGTCTGCATGGCACACCTTCAGTGGACATCTGTGCAAGCTCAGGAAAACAAATGTCTCCTTGTCCAGTCTTTTTCACATTTGAAAGAGCTTCAGAGACTGTAAATATTTGGAGGCTTGGCAATGAAAAATTCCAAGAACTTGGTTGGGCAACTGATGCCTGTGCCCAGAGCTCTGCAGCTATTTAACAAGCAGTGAGAATAGCCAAGAAAAAGAAAAAGGCAGCACAGGCACCAAATCCTCTATCCACAGAGGCAATTTGTAACTTTTTCCTCTGTTTTGCAGTTATGATATATTACTATGCATGGACACTTAAAGCTTCTTTCCAGGTACCTGGACTGTCCATACTGTTTCTGGTACTAAGGAGAGCAAAAGCACTGCTCTAATGAAATGCTGCCTTTAAGTACAGTGTTACTTGTTGGCCTTATGAGAAAAGCATCAGTTTTTACACATCACAGGGACCCAGTAATTTTTAATTCTGTTTTAAGAAAATTTCTGTCTGTGTTTCATGTGTTCCAGTATCCAAAAATCTTACCACCCATGAGGTAGCAATTATACTTCCTTTCCTCATTACTCCCGTGTTCATTCATTGACATTCTGGTTGTATATCTTCATCTGCATGTTTCTGACATCAGCACATTTTTTCTTCTGAAGATACTTGTAAAATCTGTATGCCATATTACTTAAAATATAAATAATATTTTTAATAATTTGCTTAAGAGCAGATAATGACATTGCCATGGCATGCTTGCCCACCTGCTATTTCTTCAAGTTTGGGGGTTGATTAGTATCTTTTAGAGTCAATAAATGCATTGCACCTAGCACCGGTCATAACTATCCCCAGACTCATCTGCCAAAGTCCGCAGCCAAAAATCCAGATTTGCAGGAGTTGCATCTGTCAGCACTGACTTGGCAGCACTTAATCAAACTGTGAAGGTCATACAGTAATGTGAGTGCCAAGTTTCTGCACTGCGATAGCAATCTAGATCTGTATCTGCACAAGGCCCTGCCAGTGAGCACTCTGGCCTTTGAGGGTTTGGTTATGATCTTTCAAATTAATCCTCTAGAAAGGTTTGCCTAAGCTGAAGCATTTCAGCCAGCAGTGGTTACACATATCTGCCTGTTATGCTATATTGTACAAAGGGTGACTCCGCTTCTGCTGTGGCCAAAGCACTGACATCCCTGTGGGGAGGGCATCTGCAGTAATGGCATTACCTGCATCCATCCACACTGAGGTGAATCCATTATTCCTGCTCTTCAAGCCGGGGCCAGCCGCAGAGAAACCCAAAATGCTATTAAGGGTCTTTTGACATACTTACCTCTCACTCCTGCAAACGTTCTCAGTCATTTACCAGAATCAGACGGACACGGAAGACACACAAGTTGTCCTGTAAGACTGGGATGCAGACTTGACTCGGACTGATGTAAAACAAAGTGAAATACTCTGCAGTCCCAGTATTACTTTTAAACCATCTCGTTTCTAAAACATTCTTAACTAAATACTGGTTTCTATTCCCCCTCCTTGATAACAGATTGGAAAGTAATTCACCTGGTAGGCTATGAATATATCATGCCACTTTCTGCAGGAAACTAATATTTATTGACCACATTTACATTTTGCCCACTACTTATGTTTTATCTTTCCCAAATCTTCATTCGCGAAGCCTAGCCACGATGATGTTTTATCTTTCTTTTAGACAGATTTCAATGGCAAGATTCCTTAGTGCCACTATTTAAAACTGCTTAACATTCTCTGTAATCCACTTGCTTTTTCATTTAGCTCCCTGTATGACGTTGGTTGCCCTTATATCAAAATTCAAATTTCACTCTGTCAGTTTCTTCTTTTCCCTTATATTTCCTCAAAATTTCAGAACTGAAATAAGAGATGAGCTATGAGAACTGGAAGAGAAAAAGCAATTTAATTTAAGCCTAATACATGCATTTCTTCCAATTATTTCAGCTGAACACCTTGAAAAATCCCCGTGTATGGCTTGATGCAGCTACCCAGATTTTCTTCTCTCTCTCTTTGGCTTTTGGAGGGCTTATTGCATTCTCAAGCTACAATCTGCCAAAGTAAGTAGAACTACAGCCTTTATAAACTGGCTAAATTCTTGCTGCATTCTGTGCTTTTTTTTTTTTTTTAAATTTTCAAAATTCTTTCTTTAGAATATTTATAAATTATCTTAATTTTTCTAAAGGATCTTAAAAGATGCTGTCTTTCTAAAAGGCCAAATGGATCTTCTACACAGAAAGAGGGGGGGGGGAAATCTAAAAAATTAAAATGCTTGCAGATATAACTGAATCACAGATAAAATACCGCCCTTTTAAAGTTGCTTCACTTGTTTGAATGCTATCCCTAGAAATGACTGTGAAAAGGATGCTGTGACAGTAGCAATTGTGAACAGCATGACATCCCTCTACGCTTCCATTCCAGTCTTTTCTGTTTTGGGGTTTAAAGCAACCACAGCCTACTGGGACTGCTTGGACAGGTGAGAAAGTTGTGTTCCCAATGTTATACTGTGGTTTCAATGCTTAAATAGATAATGCGTTATTTGAAAAACATGCATTTAGAGAATTTATTTTCAATAAAAAGGAAAAGCATCTATGAATGACAAGCATGTATGGAGAAGTCTAATGTAAAACCAGAAAGTATTATGGCACTGAGGCAAGAATGGTCAAGGGTAGCATTCATAAGAAGCAAGACGAATTATAACCATATAAATATATAACCATAACCACATAAATATACCCATTTCAAGTAGTGCATCAAAGTTCACATCTCAATCTCAGACTAGCACTAGAAGTAGTAAGAAACCAACACATTTTTCTATTCCACCAGATTCACTAAGTTATTAAACATGAGTGGTTGAAATGACCTGGAGAACCTGATAAAATAAAAACGTTTTAGAGACTGCATCTGCATAAAGTACTCAGAGTTTGTATCTGAAAGAGACGACTTTAAATAGTCTATTTTTTCCTGTTTTATAAAAAAACTGTCAATTAATATTTTCCTTTATATTGTAAAAAGCAGCACAGGAAGTAAGCACAACTTTTGAGTAACATCTGGATACACGGCATAGCATTTCCAGTCACATCATCTGCAAACATTTAAACTAATGCTATGTTGGCTTCTCTGGCAGGAACATTATGAGTATCATTAATGAATTTGATCTTCCGGAAGAGAGCATCATGCGACAAAACTATACCTCCTGGATCAGTTTCCTGAATTCATCACATCCAGAAAAAATTGCTGGACTCAAACTGAAGAGCTGTGACCTTCAAGAATTTCTTGATCAGGTACCATAACTGCTTCCAACAGGTAATCCTTAAACAAAATAATGTAGAAGGATTGGTATCTTCCTTTTTCTTTTACGTGCTTGTATTTTGCTCTACTTGTAATGAATATATTATATATAATCACTGAACAAATCAATTTTTCAACATTTGAAATAACAATACCATTGTAGGGTAGTTTGAACTTAAAGCTGTCTGTTACAGCATGCAAAATTACACACAATAATCACAAAACTAATCTTCAAGGGTGCTCCTACCTGGAGCCTACCATGGACACAACACTCATTCGTACTTTGGTTTATAGGAATAAGCATAACAGAGGACACACATCTAGATGAAAGATTACAGAAAAAGGATGCCGAATGGGAATTTCCCAAATCTATATTTCGGAATCTTCCTAAATCTACATTTCCTAAACCTATACTTCTTAAATCTATATTTCCTAAATCTATATTTAGGAAAGCATCAAAAAACCTATTACAATGTACACTGTTTGCCACCAAAATACATTAGGATCCTCTTCTTTTCCTTATTTTCTAATCCTCCTAAAACATTTCCCCTATCACTACACATGGATGTTTCTTCTCTGTCTACTTGTCCTACCTCATTCCATATTTTACTTACATGATGGAGAAGTCCAAGGAGGACATTCCAGCCCCGACACAAGTCAGTTTGTTTTGTCTCACTTCTTCTGATGGCACCCATTTCTGATTTACGGTTTGAAGTATCTTACTTCCAAATTATGGCAACATTAGTATCTTTCAATGCTTATATTTAAATATCCTTGTCCTCGGGAGAGTACATAAAAAGAAATTTGTCTGAAATTGGCTTTTTCCCCTGTTAGTCTTTTCTGCCTTTGCAATTATGGGGTCCTTTGTAATCAACAATTCACCATTTGTCTTGCTGCTAGTGTAACAATCATATCCTTATTTACATCTCTTCCTTTCCAGCACCATCAGAGATTTTTTGAAAAACACACTTAAGATGGCATTAGCAAAACAATTGCTATTTCAATTACAACTCTCAGATCTGCTTTACTGTGCACCTATCTCTCTGTGCAAGCCAAAGTTCTGCTCCATGACTGTCTAGACACCTCTGATAGAAAATTTAAACTCCCCACAAACACTCCCCACTGCACATTTTCTCAGGTGCAGCTGCCACAGAGCCCCACAGCCTGACCAGCACCCTTGACTTCAGAGAAGGACAGAAGTGTGTCATAATTACTCATGCATGAGAAATGACATTGTAATGCATATTTTTATCTGTTTGTGAATTCTGCAGAGTGTATCAGGAACCGGCTTGGCTTTCATCGTTTTCACTCAAGCTATCATTCTCATGCCAGGCTCCCAGGCCTGGGCCATCCTGTTTTTCATAATGTTGTTCAGCCTGGGCCTTTCTTCGATGTTTGGAAACATCGAGGGTGTCTTCACTCCTCTTCTAGAGCTTCAAATTGTATCTAAATCAACACCTAAAGAGTTATTATCTGGTAAGGTATTTGCTTTGTTTGAAGAGGGTGGCTTCTTTATAGATGCACAAGCTACCAACTGCTTAGTAAATATCACAGAGGAATTAATAATTCGTAATATTAATTTAGCTTAATCTCACAGTGTAAGTAAGGGCAGTGGACTGTGTTTGCAGAAGATAAGCACAGAGATGAGGTAGCAGTTATGGTAGAAGCTGTCAGGTTACTATTATATTGCCTTTGCCATCTTTTTTCTTAAGTTTGCAAGGTAGCCGTTTCAGTCTGAGGAAGCTCGCTAAATTGCTATTCCTGGAGTCAAGTTCACTCTGAACTGCTGTAGACATCAGTTTGGATGTCTACAGGAAGAGCTTTGTCTTCCCTTAAGCCTTTGGTACCAATACAAATCACTTTAAGGCATCCAATGACATCGGCTGGTCTGCCATAACCACCTGCACATGAACTTCTGTCACAATTGTAGGAGAGGTCGTTCACCCCTCATTCAGGTTTATGACACTACAGATCGTTTCACATTTACTATAAACATGCCAGAGTAGAAAATTACGACTTGGAAAATGAGGAACTAGCGTGTGTGATCCTGTTCTTGCACCACAACTGGGATCTTTTCAACCAGAAGTGGGTACTGAACCCAACCTGCTCCTTAAGAACCAGGCTTGATGGGAGTCCGAGAGATTCTACTGTGAAACTGGTCCAGAAAAATTGGTCCAGAAAAATTTCTGGAAGTTTGGATTAATACTTCCACAATGTGCCCTTTTAAATTCTCATGGGAAATACTGATGTCATGCCTTTATTAGAGTTTTCCTGTGGCATTTAAATTAAATCCTTAATTTTACAACTTTTTATGCAGAAACAAATTTATTCACAACCTGATGAGGTAACCATATTAGTTTGAAATTGATTTTCCAATTGTGAACTTCCTTAAGTAAAATTAAAAAAATGTCTGGAGCTAACTTTTTACAGAATTGAACCAAAGGCCATCTCAGAGCCAGAAGAAATTAATAACACATTAGGAAGACATACAAACTGATGTGCAGCCCCTGTCTGCGTCCAGCAACACTTTCCCTCCTTCCCACTTTTCACACAATTACCACAAATCTAAATCTTGCTAAAGCAGAACTGACTGTACAGAAGAGTGTGCTGAAACACAAACCATACACACTGGAACATAAGGGACATACACCTTTCTAGCTCTGGGCTCTTTGAGGAAATGGGGGGCAGAAATTCAGGGGGTCTTTACACTTCTGAGGTGACAACTGCCTGTGCTTTGATTCTATGGCTGCATGGAAATCAGGGCACTTGAAACTCACTGCATCAGCCAAAAATTAACACTGGGCAACAGCATAGCACAGCCCAGGCTTTCTAAAGGATTAACAACAGGAGGATGTTCTGAGTCACACAAGTGCATTCCTTCTGCAACAGTCGTGCCTCTTGGCCAACACACAAGGGAAAACTGAATTTGGGAAGCGATATTAACTCCTGTAAGGTAAAAATAGTTTGTTGTAGCTCCATAGAAGGAGAGAGAATAAAAATTACTAGAACAAGAGCAAAAGTAATTTAGAACAAAAATATACTTACCAAGTTCAATACTCCAGTAACAAAGATATCTTTTTTTCTTCAGGTATAATATGTCTAATTAGCTTCCTCATTGCTCTGTGTTTTACACTGGGTTCAGGGAGTTACTGGATTGACATTTTTGACAGATATGCAGGCTCAGTGCCTCTTCTAGTCATTGCTTTCTTTGAAGTAATTGGAGTTGTGTATGTCTACAAAATTAAAAGGTACGTTGGAAACAGACGGAATTTTTTTTTCATAAGACATAAACACAACTCAGGTTGCAGTAATTTTGTCCCTGACCTGATTTGATTTGGTGCTGGTTAATTCAGACTTCTTCCTAACATGCTGTTTGTTCCCTTGATAATTTTGCCTTTTTATTTTAAATATTTGAATAGTCTACAGAACTGCTGAAATATTATAATTTATTTGTACTTAGAAACCTTAGACTAGGTGTTCTGGTAATGTAAACTGACTGTGCAAACTGGTCATTGATCTCTGGTAGGGATCAGTAAAGATCTACTTCATTGATATTATTATTTACTCAAGTCAATAGTGAGTTATTAAAGAATGGTATGGAATAGAAATGATTTAGGGTGCTGTACCGTGTGTTTAAAACTTACAGAAAATTATAAAAAGTGAAACTGTTACCACTCTAGATCTGACATCATCATAACCATGCTCTCTTTTACAAGGTTCAGTAAAGATGTGAAATGGATGACTGGTCGAAAACTCAATCTCTACTGGCAAATCACATGGAGGTTTATCAGCCCTCTGCTCTTGCTAATTGTCTTCATGGCCTTTGTTGCTCTTCAGATGCTGAGGCCGCCAAGTTACGCAGCCTGGAACCCTAAATATGTATGTTCCCAAATATTTTCAGAACCTCTAATAAAAGCAAGAATTATCTATTTTTCTCCCTTACCAGATCCTTTAAAATCATTGCTCTCTACTGCTTACCTATGGAATGCAGTCTGAAGTGATGTAGTGCTCAGAATGAGAAGGCTCCAGTATGCAAAGAGGTTACACATACTAAAATGTGTCTCTTCTTGAGGTGTTGTACATACTATGTGCTCCATATTTGTTACAGATGTGTGTAATGCTGAGAAGTGTTGAAGTGAAATGTCTCACAGACTTTCCATACCTATATAGGGTTCAGAGGTAGAACAAATGCATGAGCAGAACTGCAAAAAGGATGAAAACAGGGATGAAAACAGTTCTCAGTGAGAACTACCAACATCACTGCTGTCCTGAAGAATATATGAATGTGTACTTCTGGCAGGCAGACAGGAAGGGAGCAGTGGTCTGAGAATAGTGTTGGTTAATTCAGCAACAAAGTCATGTCAATGCTCAGAACAACTGATCTGGGTGTCACTGTCTCATGCCACCTGCAGTTTCTTGGATCCCTCTCAAAAACAACCTGTGTAGGGGTTTGGAGATTGATTCTGGCCCTAAACTGTATGAGGATTACACAGGATCGGTATCTCCTCCAAATGCCATTAAGTATGTATCATTCCAAATAAAACCCACAGCCACAGACTTGCAGAAATTGCTTTACCATCATTCCCTCAAAATCTCTGACAGAAATCTTGCCTGTTTGACAAAGAACATGCTCAGTCATTGCTGACACCAGATAAGCTTTGAATACTAACACGAATAAACAGACTTTAATCAAGAGAGGGTGAAGGTTTGATAACTCTTTGGGCCATCCTTGTATCCCTAGTAATGTGTCACAATTACAGCTATAAATCTTTGAAACTGTAAAATACTTACAGCCATCATTAGACTCGAAGGGTTTACAGAGGACATGGCCACTGAGTGCTATTGTTGACCAAGAGTAAAATGTTGCTATCCTTACCAAAGCAGTGTGAGAAAATGCAAATGTAAGTGTACCTACCAATTATTTCTTTCTCTTGCTTTTTTGTCTCCATAGGAAGGCTTCCCCATGAAAGAGGAGAAAGTTTATCCACCTTGGGTACAGGCAATCTGTGTGCTGTTAGCTGCCCTTCCCTGCACGTGTATACCTCTGGTAGCACTCTTCCATCTGATCAAACAAAAGCGCAGAAGCAAGGACACAAGCCTTGTATCAGCAGAAGTATTTTCATGTCAGGGGGCTAATAGCAACTTTCCTCATCCAAAAGAATAAATACCCATCGTATTGCTCTGCAAGCAAAAATAAGCCTTTGTTAGGCACGATGAGCTGTCATATGGTATTATCAACCAACCTGGTATATGCAGTTCATACACTTACAGCCAATCACTATTACTATATAAACAGTAGTGCTATGTTTCCTTTAATTTCAACCTATTTCACTGCAGTTACATTAATAAAATTGTCCCTCCTGCATCCTGTCCTAAATCCTGCACACTAACCTAGTACCAGCCCCATTGCTTTAACTCTTCTTATGCACAGGAGGTTGCTGCTGCAGCAGCTGTGTGAGGGGGATACTAAATCTAAAAAAAAAAAGAAAAAAACTAAAAAAAATTAAGCTGCAAGATAGAAATCATCCCCTCTCCCTCCCACTTAAGGTTGGACTTAATGATTTTGGAGGTCTTTTCCAACCTTAATTATTCCATGATTCTGTGAACTGGCCTGGACAGTAAGATTCTCCTGAAGCAGTGATGGGAATAGAAACAGTGGCATCCAATCAGTCTACACCAAATGATGAAAAGCACACTGTGACTCTGCCTGCCAGAAAGAAATGCTCAGGGTAAACAGTCTGTGTGTATAGCAGTTGCCAGGCCAAAGCCTCCTGGCTCTTCCCCTATGTGGGATGAGCAGTATCACCTGCAAAACAGTTAAGTGCCTGGGCTACACGTTTTTATTTCCGAGAGCCGTGGACTTGGCCAATGGTCTGCATGAGAATGTCCAGCAATGCCCCATGGTAGCCCGCCAACAGCCCCAGCCCTTCAAGTCAATAGAGGGGCAGGTACCCCAGCAGGGAAACACAGCTTCTGTCAACAGAAACCCCACAAGTTACAAAGGTCTAATCAGAGTTCTTGATGTTCTGCACCTATGCACCGTAAAGCTTTTGACAATGACAAGGAAGATTTAAATCACTACTCTGCCTGTTGCAAATAAAATTTGAAATGTTATGAGTAAAAAATGCTTCCAAAAAGAATGAATAACGAAAAAAATAATTTAAATTTTGTGCATGTATTTATATAAAAGGTAAGAATACAAACTAAAGCATATACTTTATAATCATGTCTCTGACCACAGATAGCTAGATGTTCATTAAAATCACATATGCAAGTATATGCAGCAGGTTTAAGTATCTGGTCAGAATTCTGTTGTTACACAAAAACACATCCAATCAATGCAGACACAAGATGAGAAAATAATTAAACTACATATACAAGACTTTCAAGTCTACAAATCCATCTTGCGTCGCTGGCGATGCACTCACAGACTTGTTGACTTTTGAGCTGCCCCTTCCCATTCAGGAGAGGAGAGACTTCATGGGTCACTGGACATGCAGTTCAGCCTAGGACAGGACTCAGAGAGAAGACAATTTTCAGCTCCAGCAACTACAAATGATAGCAGGGAAACACACTATCTGAAGTTACTGTTTAGCTGCAGGAGACATGTAGAAAACGTGTTGAGCATGAGCAACTCTCACAGGAACATTGTGTTTCTGTTGTCAGTGCCCTTCTGATGCGACCTCGACCCAAATTCCTATGCCAGAACTGTAGCCTTATTCCAGTAAAATCAGTGCTACAACCTTCCCCTTCCTATTCATGTGAAGCACAGCATCTTATAAGTACTATTTTCACTTGAATTGCATGACTGACTCTGTTACTTGGGGAAGGATGTGCATGTAAATATGTAACTGAACATATTGAAGTCTTACATACTAAATATTTTCTACTTCTGCTCACTCCTCTTTGAATTTTTTATCTCCATATCCCAACAAATTTTTCTATAATACTCCACAGTGAACTCATACCGTTCTGACAGACAAGACTTTTCTAGAATTGTCTAGGCTCTAAGGTGAGACTGGATTCTTTGGGGGTAAATTAATAAAGGACACAGGCACAGCCTTAAGCTGAATCCAAATCCCTAAGACAAGGAGTTCAACTGCCTCTTAAAGGAAAAAGCATCAAAAGGAGCATTGCAACAGCACTGTAAATAAGGACATATCCAAATTATCACAATACAATAAATAGAGGAAAGATGCAGAGAGAAAAGCATATTCCTTCGGGAACACAGTCAGTTTCCTAACTTGGAAAACTTGATACCTACCTCAAATTGAGATTCACAGTCTGTAATTCCCTCCTAAAAGGAAGCAGTGCAGAGAAGGATGTGTTTGATGAATGCCTCCAGATACTACAATATCTTCCAGAGGGACTTCTGTCAAATTCCTCCCTTCCAGCCCTGCACACACATGAGGAAACAATGTTCAGCCCTACCCCTCTTCCTCCCCACATAAACCCTCCAGAAAGCTCACTTACATTGAGTGGCTTACTTCTCTCTACTTACGTTCTCTTAAATGCTGAGACAACCTTAACCTTCACCTCAACCCTCAAATCTTTTGCAATTTCCCCAGCTGTCCAATGATTGCTGAAAATCCACATTACAAATTCAGAACCCTCCTAAGCTAATTCATTTAATATTTCCAGATTCAAGTAATTCAATCCAGCCAAACACTTCCTGTCAGCAGTTGCTGTTTAACGCACTGCCTTACTACCAATTAAGTAGAACATATTTTACCACCATAACATACAGCACTATTTCTTTTAGAACAGTTCTGTGCAGAAGCTTTATGCAATATTTCTACCTTCCCAACAGTATAAACATCTAATTTTAGACCAACAAATGCATCCCCTTGCTATGGTTAATCTATTCCTTACATGTATGCTCACAGTACTGTTTTTCCAATTATCATGAGCCACCGCAGCAAGTTCAAGTTTCTAGTAGAGACTGCCAGCTTTTCTTCAAATATCCAAATTCTCCATTGGCTAAAACACATACTAGTTTCAGCTTTACTTTCACTTGCCTTCTTGAGTGGAGGATATTTTGAATGAAATAGTCTTCTCTTGTGATTTCTGCATTGTATTTGTATCTGTTTACAACAGCCTTCAGAAACAGCGGTTACTGTTCAAAACTAACAACTCAGCCAGTAATTACAGGTAAAGACAAACATCAGCTCAGGGAATTGCAGGCATTACACTTTACTCATTTTTATAAAATTGCACCTTCACCTGAGACCACATCAGCAGTTTGCGCTCTCACAGTATCCACTGTGATCCAGAGAAAGTATGTTCTAATCCAAGTCATCAGTGAAGTTTACATTCTCTCCATTCTTCACGTTGGAGCATCTTGCTGTCTCTTCCTGCCCCATGATCCAACCAAATAGAGCTTCCTGCCAGGCCAGGCCTCTCTTATGAGATGTTGTCCATGATAGTGCTCCCTCACACCAGTATCACTGCAGACCATTGTGGGGCACAGGAGTGTTTAAATGTTTGAGCTGCTGGCTGAGAAGCAACTGGGTTGTTCTTCATCTCTAGCAGGAAGAGGCATTATTCTATGCCTTTTTTATTTTTATTCTAACAGTGCCATTTTTTAGAAAGAAAAAAACAAACCTGTATGACTGCCTGTATGTTTTGAACCGAGTTGTGATATTAATGGAGAGATTGCAATATGGCAAATCAGCTTCTAGGACCTGTGTTACCAATCCCTGTGTGGTGGTGGTCTGCCAGGGATGAGACTTCCATGACTTCTTGGGGCAACCTGTTCCAGTGTCTCATCTCTCTCACAGTAAAGAATTTCCTCCTTATATCTAATGTAAACCTACTCTCTTTCAGTTTAAAGCCATCCCCCTTGCCCTATCACTATATGTCCTTGTAAAAAGTTTTTTTTTTATAGAGGCAAAGATAAACCTAAATAAAAAACAGTAAATGCAAACAGAAGAGCAATATATGTGGTATATTTTCTAATCAAGAACTTCTGTTTTGTTGGTATAAATGCACCAGCATTGTTCCATATAACACTGTATTAAAAATATCACCAAGGATTCAAAATATATAAAACGTGCACTAAAAAAATCCAGTCTGGACAGTGAAATTTTGTCATATACTAGCTGTGACCTCCAAAGCATAACATTTCCAGCCTGTGCATCTTGCTAGGTAATGCCATGGAATGCACTTGCCCTGTGAAGGTAACTGTTTTTCATGACATAACCCAGCTGGGCAGAATATTTAAGATTACTATAAAATAAAGGCACTGGAAACAAGTATGTGTTATTGCAATTAACCAGGCACTTTATTATAAAATAACCTGCAACACAGAGAAGTAAAGAACAGTCCTTCAAAACAACGCACTGAAACATGAAAGTAGATAATTTTGTACAGAACATTATTAATTCCTTCATCAAGAGGATGGGAATCACTGCATGAAATCAAGTAAATTACTTCAAATAGCCTGTGAATTTAAAACAAAAACCCCGACAACAAAAAAAAACACAAACAAGAAGGTATTAACAAATTGTGTATTCTTCTTAAGTCCTTGTATGGTATCTGAACTTCTGAACAAAGTTGATTTTGGTCCACTCTATCAAAACAAACTAGAGAGAAAAGTCACCTAAAGGCATAGCATTTATTTTCAAACCTGAAAAAATTATAAAATAAATATCAATCTGTTAGTCCAGGATAGTTTTGAAATCTTGACAAAGAGACGGTTCTGTCACTGTCTTCAGTAGTGCCATAGTATCCTTTGAGATCTTCCTGAATAGTTGCATCTTACCTACCAAAATATCAGAAACAATTCATCATAAGTGCAAGTAACTATCAATTGTTGTTTAGGGAAAATACTAATGAAGTAATGAAATCAGTAATAGCTAAATCCAATTAAAAAGCTGAAACATCTGGAATATGGGGATAAAAAAAGCTGAAATAAAATTTTACCACTCTTCTACCTTTAAATAAGGCTAATAAATAAAAAGGTTGAAAATTGTACATGAAAATATTAACAAAGAAAACCAAGGAGCAAATTCGTCCTACTTTCATTTCTTGTAACACTACTTTGTTTGGATTTGAGAACTTCATTAAATATTTTCGTAAGTATAAGACCAAAAAAGGTCTTCTGTCAAACCACAGTTACTTTGAAAGACCCTGTTTTAAACAATGCTAAGGACAAGGGACAGGTCCTTATCTGTCGCAGGAAAGTATTCCCAAACTGTTTCTTTTCCCCTCTACTTTCAGATATGTCATCGCCTATGCCTGGAACTGACATATGCAAAAAAGATTAAAAAAAATAAAATCATGTGGAAAATGCACCTTTTGCTATAAGACTGGAAACAGTAATTCTCCCCGCTGTGTTTCCATGCAGGAGAAGAGAGGCTAACTGGAAAGCCACCCTTATGGTGGAAAATACTGAAGACTAAGTGAGATTATCAGGAATTAATTTTTTATAGGAGAACATAACAGTTTGAAACACAGAAGGTCAGTGAATGTCCCATC